CCGTGGGGCTGGAGCAGCTGTCTTCTGGCTCCGGCTGGCTCCGGCAGCTCCGCTCCACACCTGCCGATGTCCTTGGTTGGTCAGCCCACGGTACTGGCATCTCCAAAATGCTGGGGTCTCTTCTGCAGCCGGGCCGCTCTTTTGCAAGTAACCTCCGCTGAGCTCTCTTCGGGAAGGGACCGATGCTATCTCACTGTGCAAACCTCAGCTTCTCCCCATCTCCCCTTCGATCCCGGAGCTTCTGCTTCAGCTGGGGCTGCACGTCCACCATTGGTCTCTTTTGGCTCCTCGAGGTGCCAAGCCTCAGCTGCTCTTCATGACTCCTTCGTGCTTCCAAAGCACATGATCAGGTTTGGCTGCCCCATGAGATGCAGCCTTGGCCTCCTGGACCTCAGGCAGCTTCTGTGTGCGAGCCTTGAGGAAATGCACCCAGGAGATATCACCTCAATGATGCTGGTCTCCTCTTAATCACAGCTGATTCTTCAGCCCTGGCTAATCAGTATCAATTATTCAAGCAAAGCAAAGGTTTCACTTTAGTGCTTTCTTGTTAATCACAGCCAGTTTCTCAGCCCCAGCTGACCAGAACCTCAGCTTCTTTCTTCAAAATATCGGACAGTCCCCGTTGAGTCATTAAGGGGCTCCCAAAGGTCCCTCTGCAAGTCCACAAGCCAGGCCTCCATCATTTGCGTTGTTCTCAGTATTATCTTCTAAGTTCCCACGACAGCTCATTACACTCGGAACACTCAGTGGCCTTTCTAGCTCACAGTTCCAGAGTCCTTCTCCAACCCTTCCAAAACACAATCAGGTCCGTCATAGCAATACCCAACTCCTGGTACCAAATTCTATCTTAGTTAGGGTTTGTCTCGCTTTGATTAAACAAAAACAACAACAAAAACCCAGCATGACCAAAAGCAACTTGGGGAGGAAAATATTTCTTCTGGCAACTCTCAGGTCACTCCATCACTGAGGGGAGTCAGGCGGAGCCCGAGGCAGGAACTGAAGCAGAGTTCATGGAGGAACCCTGCGTAGTGGCCTGATCAGCCTGCTTTCTTCAGGACCTCAGGACCACCCATTTCAGGGTGGCACCACTCACGCTGTCCTGGGCCTCCCGCATAATCACTCATGAAGAATGTCTACAGGCTTGTCTATTCATCTCAGATGACTCTAGCTTGTGTCAAATTGGCAAGATAACCCAGCCAGGACACTAGTCAGATGCTCTCTCTTAGCCATATCCCTAGCCCCGCTAGAACTCTTCTGAAATCCATATGTGGCACACCCCACTTGCTGGTTTCTCCATTTGTAACAAAGAAACCCTGGGCTAGGAATGTAGGTCAGTTCGTAGAATGCCTGCTGGTCTGCTCATTTATAGCGCGTGAGGATATCTGATAGGTTGCTTTTATTTAACATTCCTGAAAGCAAGCTCCTGTGTCCTCACGCAAACTTTTGCCATCCTTCCTTCTACCTCGTTTATTTATTTTTGAGAATGAGGACCTCTATGTTGCGTAGACTGACTCCACTCTCTGTGTGGCCCATGTTGGCATTTAACTTGGGATTCTCTTGCCGCAGACCCTTGAGTGCTGGAATTACAGACATGAGCCACCATACCTACCCCTCTGTCTTGTTGGTAGTAAACTTGGTCCCTGTATTTCCTCTGGAAGATATTCATGGTGTCTTAGAGATTTTATTGCTGTGAAGAGACACCATGACCACGGCAGCTCTTATAAAGAAAACATTTAATTGGGGTGGCTCACTTACAGTTTCAGAGGTTCTCGGCCCACTATCCTCATGATGGGGAGCATGGAGGCGTGCAGGCAGACATGGTGCAGGAGAAGGAGCTGAGAGTCCTATGTCTTGCAGGCCACAGGAAGTTGACTGAGACGCTGGGCAGTATCCTGAGCATAGCTGCCCCAAAGCCAGCCCCCACAGTGATACACTTCCTCCAACAAGGCCACACCTCTTAATAGTGCCACTCCCTGAGATTATGGGGGGAGAGAACAATTATATTCAAACCACCACACATGGTGTCATCTTTGACTCTTCCCTCTCTCTCACCCAGCGTCCATGAAAAAGCCTGTCAGCTATCACAGGTCAGTTCCGTCTTAAAAACAATGTCTAGCACAGAGAGGCAGCTCAGCAGGTGAAAGGCTCGCTGAGCAAGCCTAAGAATCACTTTGGTCCTCCCAGGTAAAACCCCGTAGTCCCAGCCTGATGAAGTCCCAGCCTGATGAAGTCAGAGGCAGGACTCCTGGAGTAAGCTGGCCAGCCAGATGAGCCACAGCAGTAGGTTCTGGGTTCATATAAGAGATCCCGCTTCAAAATACAAGGTGCGGGGAGAGAGCTCAAGGGAGACGTTTAATATCAGTCTCTGGCCTCCTCACTCGCTCTCCCACTCTCTCTCTCTTGCTCTCTCATACTCACACAAAGGCATGCACATACGCATGTGCACTACACCACTTACACATGTGAAAAACAATTTCAGTAGCATTTGCACAATCCCTGGGTTCAGCCCCTAGCATGGAAAAGAAAACACAGATGAAGAAATAAACTATGAGACCAGCACAAGCTTGTCACTTCCCCCGTTGCCACAACCTCATGGAAGCTACCATCATTTTGGTCTGAAGTCCCTGCTTGTCCCTGTAATGTAGTCTCAGTATTTCACCATTGGTGCATACCTTCACCTTTTTAATCCCAGCACTCGAGAGGCAGAGGCAGGAGGATCTCTGTGAGTTTGAGACCAGCCTGGTCTACAGAGCGAGTTCCAGGACACCCAGGCGCGACACAAAGAAACCCTGTCTCAGGAAAAAAAAAAGTGTGTTAAATGGGCGAAGAATTTGGGGCTATTTCTTCAAAGTTGAAGGAGACCAGAGACTTGGAGTGGCCCCTGAAGACTTAATTAAGATTTAAGATTGGGGTAGCTTCGGGAAGGCAGGTGACAGTCTTTCTGGGCTGGCTCTATAGTTGGAGGCTGCATGGGAGAGGAGCTCTTTTCCTGAGCTTTATGTAACAGATGTGGTCTTGTGTAAATCACACTTCTGTAAACACAACCCGATTTTAAATGTACTAGCAGAGACTGCTAATTTTTTTTTTTCGAGACAGGGTTTCTCTGTGGCTTTGGAGGCTGTCCTGGAACTCCCTTGGTAGTCCAGGCTGGTCTCAAACTCACAGAGATCCACCTGCCTCTGCCTCCCGAGTGCTGGGATTAAAGGCGTGCGCCACCAACGCCCGGCCGCGGAGACTGCTATTTAAAGGCAAGTGATACCAGTCTCTTTTGTAAAGTGAATAATTAATCTCTTAATTTGTGCTCAATGTCAATTCCTATTTTCCATGAAAAGTTACATTGACTTTAAAAAAAATCAAGATGTGCTCTTCAGAGTCGAGGGAACCCCCGTTCTCCGCATGGCCACTGTCTCTATATTTCTCTCTGTGTGCCTGGGCTCTCCCCCTCTTGCTCCCTGTCATTCTTTTGCCGAGTTCTTTCATCATATATGAAATGCTCTTCTGCAGATCCAGCATGGTGGTACCTGCCTGTAACCCCAGCTAGTCTAGAGGTCTGAGGCAGGAGAATCAAGGATAGGGGTATGGTTCCGTCGGCAGAGCTCTTGCATAGCTCCGGGCTTGATCTGAAGACTGCATTAAACCATGCATGGTGGCACATGTTCATAATCCCAGTGCTCGGGAGGCGGAGGCAATGGAGGGTCAGGAGTTCAAGCTCATTCTTGGTTACATAGCGGGTTCCAGGCTAGCCTGGACTACATACTGTGTCAAGGGGAGAAGATAAAACTAAAAGAGGGTTTGATGTGTAGTGTGTCCCCTCCTCAGACCAGATGAATGCCATGGGGAGGGGGGGAGCAGAGTTAAGTTCCGGGGGACATCCACTATAGCCAGGTTGGGACTCACAACAGAAATGACAGCCAAGCACTATTTTCACGGCTAACACACTGTATTCGTTATTTTTGCCCTCACTGTGATTAAAATTCCACACAGACGCAGCTTATGGGAGGAAGGGTATGTCATGGTTTCAAAGGGTTTCAGTCCATCATGGCTGAGGGGGGAGCAGAGGCAGGCTGAAACCACAGACCTGGCTACAACCTCGAAGGCTTGCCTCTAACACCTGCTTCCTTCAGCCAGACCCCAAAGTAGCCTCTGCTAAATAGCGTCTTCAGCCAGGGAACGAGCATTCAAAACGGGAGCCTGTGGCGGATGTTTCAGGCGTAACAGATGTTCTGCCCCGCACTTTAAAAACCGTTGAGACCCCAGGAGTGTCCGCTTTGTGACCTAGAGTGTGGCTGGCGAGGATGTGACCGCAGACCATGATGGGCAGGGGGAGATGGTGTGTAGAGCCCTGGAATGTCCCTTCCCCGAATGTCTTCTGTCCTGCCAGTACCTTAAATAGGCAGCCTGTGTGCCTCACGCTGGGGTAGGTCAGTTATGCCCTTCATCAGGTTCTCGTTCTTCTCTGTCTGACAGACTCTGTCCTTTCAGCTCTGACTAGGCTAAATATCTGCTAGTAGGAAGTTGGGACTCTCCTTTTTCTGTTGTGTTGAGGTTGGGGCCCTGAGCCTGTCCCATACCCCACACCCGGCCCCTCAGTGGGGCATTCTAGGCAGGGGCTCTACAGTTAGGCCACGCCCCCATTCCCTAACTGGGGGATTCTAGGCAGGTGCTCTACCACTGAGCCACACCCCAGCCCCTCACTGGGGGATTCTAGGCAGGGGCTCTACCACTGAGCCACACCCCAGCCCCTCACTGGGGGATTCTAGGCAGGGGCTCTACAGCTGAGCCACATCTCCCAGCCTTAGGAACTTTATTGAGAACTGACTGTGGGCAGAGACAGAGCACAGATTCTACAGTAATATGGGTGTGAGATAAGGGTGCCTGTTGTGGAGTTAGAATAACAGTTAGGAAGGCAGAGGATGTTTGGGAGGGGAAGCAGTGGGCCTTGGCATTGCTGGGCTTGCAGCAAGTACTTCCTGCCTCGGTCATGGGACAGACGGGTCACTGGTGAATCAGCTCCGTGAGTGACGCAGCTGGGTCCTGAGAGCTTCCTGTGCCACCCATCTCAACCCTGTTTCCCACTTAGCAGGGGAGAGAGAGGCACAGCTCCCACCAGCTGTGGAAATGGGGCACGGAGAGGGAAGAGGGCTGTTGGGCAACGCAGTGGTTTGAGGGCAGACACAGCCCAGCCCCGTCCATCGGGAACGTTTTCCCCAGAGGCCCTGGCAAGGACTACAGCCAGCAATATGGAAATCTTTATCGGGGCTGTGCCTTGTCCGTCGCCATCACCAAACCCTGACGTGTAACCAAGGGTGGAATTGGTTTGTTGTGGTTCATGGTTTGAGAAGACACAGTCCACCTTGATGGTGAAGGCGTGGGGCTGAGTTTGCGGTGACAAGAACTTGTGGTCAGGACTTCTCGCTGTCTACTGGGAAGCAGAGAGTTCAGCTCAACCGGGGGCCAGCTGTAACCTCAGGTGTGACCCCCAATACCCAGTGGCCCACTTCCTCCAGGAAGACCTCGCCTCCCTCTGCAGCTTCCCAGGGGAGCCTCGTTAGCTGAGGAGCAGCCGTCCGCCTGGCCCAGGGAGGCTGTTCCGCATCTCTATTGGTTCCTTTTTCTGTTGTTGTTTTAAAAAAAAAAGTACTCTTAATGAAAGCAACTTAATGGAGAAAGGATTTCTTCCGCACATTCCATCACGACGGAACACCAGGACAGGGGGCAGGGAAGGCATGATGGGAACAGAATCCCGGCTGCTCACACTGCAGACACGCTCAGAAAGCAGGATGTGAACAGGAAATGGGCCAGAGTTTAAGCCCGCCCCCACGGACCCGCTTCCTCCAGAGCAACTCCACCTCCTACGGGTTCCACGACCTTCCCAAGCAGCGCCACCAGCTGGGGACCACTGCTTACACACATAAATCCTGTGTGGGAGACACTTCTCATAGCATCCACCAGCGGGAGGACTTACGCTAGGTAGTGAGTGTAAAGATGGTGGAGAAAATGCAGTACCTCCTCCAGGCAGATGGCATGGTGGCTACTGCTGTCAGCAGGACCTAAATCACCCAGAAGGTGAGCTCCCGCCTGTCTGTCAGAGTGTCTGGATTAGGCACCGCCCACAGCGTACGGGGAACCATCCCGCGGGATTGCGCAACATCCTTTACTTAGCGTCAGCACTGGCTCCACCGACTTCCTGTGCGCCTCTAACTTGACTCCCGTTTTACCCTGCTTAGGGTTTACTGAGTATTTCCTGTTAAAGAGAAGCAAGCTAGGGAAGCGGAAGAGCAGGAAGGGGAAAAGAAAAGTGGAAATGGAAGAAGGGGAAAGGAAACAAAACCAATTTAAAAGGAGCACGAATGAGTTTCCTCTCCTTTTCTGTTACATATATGGGTGTTTTGCCTGCATGTGTATCCGAGCGCCGTGTGTGTGTGTGTGTGTGTGTGTGTGTGTGTGTGTGTGTGTGTGTGTGTGTGTGCGCGCGCGCCTGATAACTGCAGAGACCAGAAGAGGGGACTGTGTTCCCTGGAACCAGAGTTTGGGGCAGTTGTGAGTCACCGTGTAGCTGCTGGGGATCAAACCTGGGTCCCCTGAAAGAGCAGCCAGGCTCTTGACCACTGAGACATCTCTCTAGCCCCTCTTTTTATTTTTTTGTGATATAAGAATTGAACTGAGGGGCTCCTGTATGCAAAAAAAGGCACTATACCTCTGAGCCAGCCCCCGGCCTTCTACCAGGTTATTATAAGTGAGAACTCTGTTGCTGGCCTATTTCCCCCAGCCCTTTACTGGTAGAGTCAGGGGCTCTACCACTGAGCCACACCCCAGCCCCTCACTGGGGGATTCTAGGCGGGGGCTCTACCACTGAGTTACAGTGCCAGCTTTTCACATTTCTTCTACTTTGCTTTCTGTTTTCCCTCCTCCCTGCCCTTTTCTTGGGTGTTCTTTCTGACCTCAGCAGTTGGTCCTCCTCTGGCCCTTTGCCTTAGGGTTGCATCCCAACCCAGGGCACGTCTTCTGCCCACCCCTGCTAACATTTGCAAGCTAGCCTGGCCTTTGGGTTACAAAAGCCAGGCTGCAGCCCAGAGTTGTGTGCGTGACCGGACAGTATCCTGTCAACCCCGCAAGCCAGTCCAGGCTCCACTGCCCCCTCAGTAGTGAGACTCAAAAGCTTCCCATTGGCCACATCCAGGCTGGTGTGCCCAGAGCGAGCCTGTAAATAGAGAGGACTAGAGAGGGAGGAAGAGAATTTGAGAGAAAGCCTCCCTTCCTGCAGAGCCTGCTGATAATTGGCTCTCGGTGACCAGCTGGGCCAGGAAGTGTTGTACAATGCTGTTCTTTCAGGAGAGCCGCTGCTGGCCTCAGGTCCCGTGTGACTCCAGTGGAGTAAAGAGAACAGGGTGTTCTCAAGGGATGTTCTCGAACCTAGACCCCCCTCCAGAGGTGAGACAGAGCCCTGAGCTTCCGCCCTCTGCCCTGGGAGTGCCCCCTCCCTCCGAACGCATTGGCACCCGCCTGCAGACCCAGATCCCTCCAGGCCAAATGATTTCTCTCAGGGTCTAGGCAGCGACTGCGTAGTGTATGGGAGCAGGCAACCTCGAGGCCTGGGGACTCCTCCCTGCCCGGCCTTAGGTGTGGGGCCGCGTAGAAGGAGAAGCCAGAGCCTATACTCCGAATGTGTGTCTTTGTCCTATGTCCATATGTGTATGTGTGGCGTGTAGACGTGTTTGCAGTGGTGTGTGCGTGTGCAGACAGAGGCCAACTCCAAGTGCCTTTCGTGGCTGCCCTCTGTCCTAGGTTTTTCAGGCCTTTGCCTGAACCCAGAGCCCATCTGACCGGTGAACTTTAGAGATCTGTCTGTCTCCGTGTTACACTTCCCAAATGGGGTAGTGGGTTACAAGGTGTGCACCACACCTGGATTTCGTGGGCACTGGGGGTTGACCTTGGGGTTTGTACTGGCACGGCAGGCACTGTACTGGCTGAGACGTCTTCCTCGGTCCCTTGCACGGCAGGCACTGTACTGGCTGAGACGTCTTCCTCGGTCCCTTGGACTTCAGTTTTCTGGGGAAAGGCAGTTTGTTAAATATGTGCGGCATTGTTGCTTGAGTGTGGTGGTGTGTGTGTTTATGTCCCTGGGCCTTGGGAGGCTCATGTAAGGGGCTAGCCTGGATGACACAGTGCTTCCTAGTGCAGCCTGGGCTATGTAAGGCCCTGTCTTTAAAACAAAAGGGCCAGGGGCATCGTAATTGTTGAGCTGTAGCTTGACAACTACAGAAAATTGTAAAAATGTAGCCTTTAGGTCTTTTTTGTTGTTTTTTTCTTCTGAGACAGGGTTTCTCTGTGGCTTTGGAGGTTGTCCTGGAACTCGCTCTGTAGACCAGGCTGGCCTCAAACTCACAGATCTGCCTGTCTCTGCCTCCCTAGTGCTGGGATTGAAGGTATGCGCCACCACTGCCTGGTTCCTGATCTTTTTGTTTTGTTTTGTTTTGTTTTTTCGAGACAAGGTTTCTTTGTGGCTTTGGAGGTTGTCCTGGAACTCGCTCTGTAGACCAAGCTGGCCTCGAACTTACAGAGATCCGCCTGCCTCTGCCTCCCAAGTGCTGGGATTAAAGGCGTGCGCCACCAACACCCGGCTCTGGCTCCTGATCTTTTAAAGTGACATTTACTTATTTATGAGAGGTAGAGGTGTGTGCGTGTGGAGTTCACAGGGCAATATACCGGAGTCTACTGTGTGGGTTCTGGGGATTGAACCTAGGCTGCCAGGGTTAGCAACAAGCACCATTTCCTACTAAGCCATCTCACCAGCCCCAAATGCTGTCTTTGCAATAGATAGGTATAGAAGTATGCAGGATGAGCCGGGCGGTGGTGGCGCACGCCTTTAATCCCAGCACTCGGGAGGCAGAGGCAGGTGCACCAGCCTGGTCTACAAAGTGAGTTCCAGGACAGGCTCCAAGACAATACAGAGAAACCCTGTCTCGAAAAACCAAAGGGGGAAAAAAAAAAAGAAGTATGCAGGATGTACGGTGAGGCATGAGGGTGTCATCTGGAGAAACTGGACCTAATGGGAACACCTACCCCAGAAGCTTCAAAGTGACAGACATCCTGAGGGTTCTAGGTGACCCCCTTCTTTTTAGAGTGTTAGTACTGCCTGGAGTGGCCTTGAACTCACTCTGTAGCCCAGGTGTACCTACAGAGTAGGAGCCTCCTGCTTGAGCTTCCTCCAGGAGCTGGGATTACAGGCCAGCACCTCCAAGCAGGGGCCACAGCCAGCTTGCTCTAAAGAGCCCATTATGAGCCAGACCCAGTGGTACGTATCTGTAATCCTAAAGAGACTTGAGTTGGAAGATTTCGAGTTCAAGACCTGCCTGGATTAGTGGGTTCCTATCTCAAAACTGGGGGGTGGGGAGCTGGGGATATAACTCATTTGGTGGATCGCTTGCCTACTGTACGTGAGGCTGTGGGTTCCAGCCCAGCCCCAAATAAACAGGGCATGATGGAGCACACTCGTAATCCCAGCACTCAGGAGGTGAAGGCAGAAAAGCCAGAATTTCAAGGCCATTCTCTGCTACATAGTGAATTCAAGGCCAGCTTGGAATAAATGAGATTCTGTCTCAACAAAACCCAAAACTGGACAATGTTAAACGCAGACCTCCCTTGTGCCTCGGAGCCCTGACAGGTTTAGTTACAGGATCTGAGGCACAGCCAAGAGCCGCGGTGGGGCCTCTGATTCATAGGCCCTTCCACACTGGTCAGTAGTGTTGGAAGTACGACAGTCACACTAGCAACGCTGAATGAGCTCTTGTGAGCGCCCCCAGCTACAGGAAAGGATGTGGAGTAACAGCTAGGGCGGGGGCCCTAGAAGTGCCCCAAGTGACTTACGATAGTTAACATTTTTTGTTTTGCATTTATCATTGTGTGTTCGTGGTTGGAGTGAAGTACGTGCATACATGTGTGCAGGCCGGAGAGCAGTTTATGGGAGTTGTTTCTCTCCTCCTTGGCAGGTCTAGAACACTGAGCCTTCTTGCTGGCTCGGTAGTTAATACCTGTTGTCAACTTGGCAGGACCCAGAGTCAACGGAGAGAAGCCCTTGTAGCCTGTCTGTGAGGGAGTCTCTGGATTGAGTTAATTTAGGTGGGAACCCCCACTAATGTGGGCGGGCTGGCACCTTCCTGCTAGACTGAATAAAAATAAGTGAGTGGTGCAGTCTTTAATCCCAGCGTTTGGGAGGCAGAGGCAGGCTGATCTCTGTGGGTTTGAGGCCAGCCTGGTCTACAGAGCTAGGGCTACATAGAGAAACCCTGACTGAGACTGGCAGGGGGTGTGGGGTGGGGTGGGGGTGGAGAGTGGGCTGAGCTCCAGCATCCGTCTGTGTTGGCTTCTTGGCTGTGGATACAATGTGACCAGCTGAGCACCAGCATCGTCGCTGTTGGCTTCTTGGCTGTGGATACAATGTGACCAGCTGCCCCCACTCCAGCTGCCATGCCTTCCCCACCGTGAGGGACTGTGCATCCTCAGACTGTGGGTCTGTCCTTTCTCCCTCCCGTTGCTTTTGTTAGGCAGGAATAAGAAAAGTATTAAAACCTGGCTTCTTCCCCAAACCCAGTGCAAAACCCGGTCTTTCTCAGTTGTGCTGGACCCAGACATGGAGGCGGTGACCCCTTAAATACAGTACTAAAGAAAGCAGGAGCTGCCCTGCCGGAGGACCGGGGTTCAGTTCCCAGCACCCTTATGGTGACACACAACTGTCTGTAACTCCAGTCCCAGGGATCCAAATGTACCCCCTCTGGCCTCCTCAGGCATTGCACACACATGTGCACAGACAGATGTGGGGGGCACCGATATACATGCAACATTTTAAATAGCAGACGTATGCCATTTAGTGCAGTGTGTGTGTACAGATGCACTCAGAGTCCAGCAGTGTGTGTGTGCGCGTGCGCAGATGCACTCAGTCCAGCAGAGTGTTGGGAACTGAACTTAGGTCCTCTATAAGAAGAGCAGCAGGTGCTCTTAACTGATAAGCCTTCTCTCCAGAAGCCCCGCCCCTGCACCCCCAGGATAGGATTCAAGACAGGGTTTCTCTGTGGCTTTGCAGGCTGTCCTTGTAGAGTAGACCAGGCTGGTCTTGAACTCACAAAGATCCTCCTGCCTCTGCCTCCTGAGTGCTGGGATTAAAGGCGAGCGCCACCACAGGCGGGCTAAAAATCCAAGAGTAGTTTTTGTTTTGTTTTTTGCTTCTAAGATTTATTTCTTATGTATGCAGCATTCTGAATGCACATATGCCAGCAGATCAGAAGAGAGCACCACATTCATTCACCATGTGGTTGCTAGGAATTGAACTCAGGACCTTTGGAAGAGTAGCCAGTGCTCTTAACCATACAGCCACCTCTCCAGCCCCCAAGTGATATTTTTAAATGGGAAAAATCCCAGCAACCCAGAAGGCTGAGACAGGAGGGTAAAAAGTTTTAGGCAGTTTAGTAAAACTCTACCTCAGAATAAATGGATAAAGAGAGTCAGCACTTGGTCTCAGTGGTTGGAGTTGCTTCCACTGAGCCTGTGATCTGAGTTTTGTGAGAAGAAAGAATCAACTCCCACAGGTTGGTCTCTGACCTACATGAGTGCACCTTGGCAGGCAGGCACCTCCCCCACTCCACAATGCACAATCTAAATAAACAAATAAGTAAGTAAGTAACTTTTTAGAAAAAATAAACAACAGAGGCTTAGATGGTGGCTCAGGAGTAAGAACACAGTTTGTACAGAACACTGGAGTTCAGTTCCCGGTGCCCACGTCAGGCTGCTCACAACTCTAGCTCCAGCGTTCCAGGCCTCTTCCAGCATCCACACTCATGTGCACACACCCTCAGACACACTCGTGTGCACACACCCTCAGTCAGACACACTCATGTGTTCACACCCTTAGTCAGACACACTCGTGTGCACACACCAGCAATCAGACACACTCATGTGCACACACCCTCAGTCAGACACACTCATGTGCACACACCCTCAGTCAGACACACTCACGTGCACACACCAGCAATCAGACACACTCATGTGCACACACCCTCAGTCAGACACACTCACGTGCACACACCCTCAGTCAGACACACTCATGTGCACACACCAGCAATCAGACACACTCACGTGTACACACCCTCAGTCAGACAGACTCACGTGTACACACCCTCAGTCAGACACACTCATGTGTGCACACCCTCAGTCAGACACACTCGTGCACACACCCTCAGTCAGACACACTCATGTGTGCACACCCTCAGTCAGACACACTCATGTGCACACACCCTCAGTCAGACACACTCATGTGCACACCCTCAGTCAGACACACTCATGTGCACACACCCTCAGTCGTCAGACACACACAATCACATAGTTTCAAAAAATAATAAACCTTTGAAAATTTTCAACAACAAAACAGCCCACATGATGACACCATTTAGCATTTGTGCCCGTTATTGTCTGTGGGCTTTGTCAAGATTTTGAAAACAACAGGAAAGGAATTATTTGGTGTTTTTCTGTGTAATTAAGGAAGGAAAGGGGGATTTGCCCTCGAGTTGGAAAATGGCCAGGAGTGGGTGGAGGGCCGGGGAAGCCCATGGAAGTTTTGTTTTGTTTATTATGGGGGGTTGGTACATGCCGCAGCTCTTTCGAGAAGGTCGGGGACCACTTCAGTGGAGTGGGGTCTCCCCTTCCATCTTCATGGGGGTCCTGGGAATGGCACTGTGGTTGTAGGCTTGCTGGGCAAGCGCCTTTCCCCGCTGAACCCTCTTGCCAGTCCTTGGTGGGAAGGTTTGGAGGCGGCAGAGGGATGGCTGGCTGGTCAGTCTCAGGCCACAGTGGCTCTCCCTGACATCAGCATCTCTTCCTCTTGTACCCTGAGGAATAATGTTTCCCTGGGGATGAAAAAGCCTTCCTTTGTGTGGCCCCTTAATTACCATGCTGCTGTGCCAAGCCAGCGAGTAGCAGGCGGGTGTAGCAGCTGGGCACAGCCAATGCCAGGCAGCAAAGCCTGCTCCCTTGGGACAGCCTGGGACAGCTGGTCTGGGAGTGCTGCCCACCTCTGCCCCTCTGCCCACAAGCTGGGTCCCCAGAGGATCCAGAGGGCCCTGGCCGGTCTCGGGGCAGTCAGAAACCCCAAGGGTCGCTGGAGGAAGGGGAGGAGGAAGAAGGGGTGGAGGTTGGAAGGGTCTCAGCCACTCTTGGAAGCTCATTTATTTCATCCCCTTCCCCTCCCCCATCTTGTTTTTGCAGACTGTCAGCGTCAATAAGGCCATTAACACGCAGGAGGTGGCCGTGAAGGAAAAGCATGCCAGGAATATCCTTTTGGATGCAGTCCTTGGGAGGCTGACCCTGGAAGGGGGTCAGATAGTGGGAACTGAGGTCAGGAAGAGGCTTCTTGCTTGCTTGGCAACAGGAAAAGTAACCCTTGCCTGGGGCAGGAGCCTGCAGGCAGAAGTCACTTCCAGTCCAACCACAGACCCAGCCTAGCAAGGGACACAGGAGGCCATCCAGCCCAGGCCTTTTGTATGTATTTAGTTAGTGAAGTCTTAAACCCAGGACAAATGACTAATTGAGGGGTTCATTAACACACCAGGTTCTCCCCCACCAGGTTCTCCCCGTACCCTACCTGCTAACAGTTCTGCTGGCTGCCACACCCCCTGATCTCTCCAGCCCAGAGACTGGGCTGCCTTTCCCCAGACGCCCTTCCCTACACAATCCACCCGTTCTGGTTACCTGGCCTTTTCAGTCATCCATTCTCTACCCTCCTGGCCTTTTGATCTGATCCTATCCCTCCCCGCCATGGTCCAGCTCAATCTGGTCACCTCCACTCTGGACTCTCCCAGATGCCCCTGCCTCTGGCATCACATAAACCAGGTGTGGTCCTGCACCCCTGTAATCCCAGAAGTCCAGAGGTGGAGATAGGAGGATCCGGAAGTTCAAGGTCATCCTCTATTAACATACTAATTCCAGGACAACCTGGGCTACTTAAATGTTGGTCCAGCCTCAAAAAAGGCAGGTGAGAGGGAGGTAGGATGGGTGACTCAGCAGATGTAAAGGAACTTGCCGTCAAGCCTGAGGGGCTGAGGTCAACAAGCTGCCCTCCAACGTCTACACGTGCACCTATGTGACACCTAATAGTACATAAATGCATTTAAATGCAGCTTTGAAAAAGACAATTCCTTTCAGGGGAAACTGTTACAAAATAGAGAGCAAGGTGGTATTTTAGCACCGTCAGCCTCCAGACTGCCAGGGCAAACACGGAGAACTGTGTGTGGGGGTCTCAGTGGTGAACAGTGCCCGCCCACCCTCCTTTGCCAACACCACCCACCAGCCCCTGCTTTCCCTAACTCCCATCACCGTGCATCCTGGGCACCCACCATGAGAAAGGGGCGCAGACATTTTGGTCCGTGGTCAACCGGCTGCCCCTGTCCAGCAATGCCATGCTGTGCTGGAAGTTCTGCCATGTCTTCCACAAACTCCTCCGAGACGGACATCCCAACGTGAGTGTCCCCGTCCCCCGTCGTCCCCCCTGTTGTCTTGTGTCGTCCCGTCCGTCCCCCCCCACCCCCACCCGGGCGTGCTGGGAAAGGGAAATTGACTTCCGTTCCTGCTGCCCTCGATGCCGGCAAGCAGAGACGGGAACTGAAGCTTAAAGAGACATTTTTATTTACACGTGTGTGTCTGTGTGAGTTATACCACGCGTGTCCAGGTGCCCGGTGAGGACCAAAGAGGGCATCAGATTCCCTGACTTGGAATTCCAGGATGTTACGAGCCACCCAGTGTGGGTGCTGGGAAACTCGGGTTCTTTCTGCAGGAGCTGCAAAACAGCCTTAACTGCGGAGCCATCTCTACAGCCCCTGGAATTGTATCTTTAAAACCATTTTATCCAGAGATCCAGCGGTTGGAGAAGACCATGTGCTCCAGCTCATCTTGAGCCAGCAGATTATACCGCGAGGAGGGGGTGGAGCCAGCAGATTATACCGCGAGGAGGGGGTGGAGCCAGCAGATTATACCGCGAGGAGGGGGTGGAGCCAGCAGATTATACCGCGAGGAGGGGGTGGAGCCAGCAGATTATACCGCGAGAAGGGGGTGGAGCCAGCAGATTATACCGCGAGAAGGGGTGGAGCCATCAGATTATACAGCGAGGAGGGGGTGGAGACAAAGGCTGTCAGGCTTTTCAGGGTTCAGCCTTGCCCCTTTGGCCAGGTGATCAGCCGTGTTTCTGATAAAAAAAGAAAGTCCCACTTCTGATATTGTGCCTCTTGCACTCTTCCCTCATGGGTGTCTGGGCTCAAATGTTTATTGAAATACTTAGGTTAATGTCTGCTGGTGTCGACCTGTTCCAGAGGCACCTGGGCCAAAGAGGCAGTGTTACACTCAAAATACACGGTGTCTGCTTGAAGCCAGTAACATTGTGTATGCACTGATGATGTTTATAATATAGAATATGGAAGTTCCCCGTTATCTCTCCTGTCCCCTATCAAAAGCGATTGTCAAGCCAGCAAGATAATCCCAGGGATCCAAGGTGAAGGAGAGAACTGATTTCTGAAAGTTGTCCACATGTATGCTGTGACACGGGCACCCTCACACACATGCACACACAAGCATGCACACAGGAACACACACACACACACACACCCCTCATCTTTGATTTCCCACAGGAGGCAGGTACATCCCTTTGCCCCAGGCCCAGGTAGACTGTTCTCTGACCACCCGTGCCTCCTCTCATGGCTCTTCCTTCTTTTCTAGGTGCTAAAAGACTCTCTGAGATACAAAAGTGAATTAAGCGACATGAGCAGGATGTGGGTGAGTATGGAGATGAACGGGGGGGGGGGCTCCTACTCCTCATCCCCAGGGAAGGGGATAGAACAAGTTACCCTCCTGCCCTTTGGTTCAGACATCATCTCATGGAACCCAGACTAGCCTCAAATTCACTACATGGCTAAGGTTGACCTAGAACTCATGACCCTCCTGGCTGGGATTGCAGGTGTGCATGGCCAAGTCCAGTTTATCCAGAGCTGGGGAAAGCAAGTGCTCCACCATCTAAAGTGCATCCCTATCTAGCCCATGATTGGCTAGTTTCTTCTGTGGGTCTTAGGAGTGAGCTGAAGGTGTCCTCACATTACGGTGCCTTGCCTGAGTCCCTGTAAGCTCCAGGCAAATTCCAAGTTCCCAGAGCCTGCCTGGGGACTTGAATTCCATATCATGGAATTAGGATCCCTTTGTTTTGGGGCTGAAGAGATGGCTCAGCAGTTAGGAACACTAGCTGCTCTTCCAGAGGACCAGAGTTCAATTCCCAGCACCCACATGGTGGCCCACTAGGGATCCAGTGACCTCTTCTGGCCTCCTGAGACATGCAAACGGGTAGTGCACAGACCTGTATGCACACAAAGGCATAATAATATAAGACGTAATAATATAAGGTAAAAATAGCTAAAGATTTATTGTTTCTTTGAGATCTCCACACATGGTCCAGGCTAGCCTGGAACTTGTCATCTTCCTACATTAGCCTCCTGAGTACTAGGATTATAGGCTTTCTGTGGAGAGGGGGGACGCAGGTGGGGGTGAAGGCGGAGTATATGCCTGTGTGTGTGAAGACACACTGTCAGCCATGGGCGTCGCTCCTTAGTAGCTGTCCACCTTGTTGGGTTTTGTTTTTTGTTTGTCTTTTGGTTTTTTTTTTTTTTTTTTAGCAGGGTCTCTCTCTCTCTATGTAGTCCTGGCTGTCCTAGAACTCACCTCGTAGCCCAGGCTGGCCTTGAATTCACTGAGATCCTCTCACCTCTGTCTCCTGAGTGCTGACATTAAAGGCTTATACCATCACAATACACCAAGCCGTCCTCGTTTTTTGAGACAGGCTCACTGAACCTGTGGCTCACCAGTTAGGTTAAGCTGGTTGTCTGGTGAGCCCTGGGGATCCTCCCATCTCTGCCTCCCCGACACCGAGATTGCAAACCTGTACTGTGAGTGCTGAAGACACCCCTCAGGCCCCCAGACTTGCTCAACAAACTTAACAATAGAGCTGTCTCCCCATACCTTTTTTTAATTCTTTTTATCTCATCCCTTGCTTTCTTATGGGTTCATTGTGGATCTCACTTTGTAACCCAGAGTAGTCTTCAATTTCCAGTATCCTCCTGCCTCAGCCTCCCTGGTGGGTGCTGGGATTCCTGTACAATAGCTTTTTAAAAAAATATTTTTCTTCGTTTGTGTGCATGGGGTGCAGATGGAGGTCAAAAGAGTCGTTTGCTGGAGCTGGAGTTACAGGCACTGGGGAGCCGGGAACTGAACTCAGGTCCTCGGCACCAGCTGCATGCACTCCGGCTGCTGGGCCATCATCGCTCCAGCCCCCTTTACAAGATGTCTTACGCCTTGCAAATATTTTAGCTATGTTAATGAGGCCCGTGCTGTATATTGCTTCTTATAATCCCATCATCAGTCCTTAGAGATCTGTGTGGCCATCTGGCATTTCTGGTGGATTTTAGTTATTTTTCCTTTTGTGCCTTTTTTTTCCCCCTTGGGAGCTCCTCAGTTTTCCTGGGAACACAATTCTTTGAAGTAAGTAACAAAGACGGGTCTCTCCAGAGAGAACCTGTGTTCGCCTCTATAGAGATCGCTCTCAATTAAGCTCTCAGCTGGAAGCTTGTGAATTCTGGGAAGGTCCCCTGGGGAGTGTCTTCTGGGTCTCCTTCCAACATTGGATTTTACTTCTCTTCATCACAGGACTGGGTGGAGGAAATCTCAATGGAATATTCTCAAGGATTTCCTCCATATGGCAGTGCAGGGGGTGAACGCCCTTTATTTTTTTGGGTGCGTGCGTGTGCGCGTGCGTGTACATGTATGGGTGTGTGTGCATGTATATGAGTGTGTGTGCGTGTGTACGCATGCGTGTGTGTGTGTGTGTGTGTGTGTGTGTGTAAGGAGGGGTACATGCATGCCACTGTTTCTCTTCTACCAAGTGGAACCCTGAGGTCATCAGGCTTGGTGGCAAATTCCTTTACCCTCTGAGCCATCTTTCTGCCCCGTCTTTTTTTGTGTTTTTGTTTTGTTTTTCAGGACAGGGTCTCTCTGTGTAACAGTCCTGGCTGTCCTGGAATTCACTCTGTAGACCGAGCTGGCCTTGAGCTGCCTCTGCCTCCAGAGTGCTGGGACTAAAGGCGTGGGCCCCCGCCGCCTGGTTCAGCCCCACCTTTAAAAACTGTTTATTGTGTGTGCTGGGATGGGTGGGGTCACGTGAGTGATGTAGCAGGCCGACTCACACACCTCGCCTGTGGTGGTCCGTCAGTCCTGTCCTTCCATGTGGGTCCCAGGGATTGACTCATGTCAGGCCTGGAACCACTGAACACCAGCAGCCAAGAAAAAGAATTTAGAGAAAGCCCTGCCTCCACACTGATGTAGCCTCCTCTCTTCCTCCACACAGGGCCACCTGAGCGAGGGGTATGGACAGCTGTGCAGCATCTACCTCAAACTGCTGAAAACAAGGATGGAGTACCACACCAAAGTAAGCACCTGCCATGCTCCATGGCCCCCCCTCCCTCATCCCGTCCCTCCTCCAAGCCCTCCCTCAGCCCTCCCTCCAGACCCTCCCTGGTCTTTATTATCACTTTAGGGAACAGTGTGGGACCTCAAGAATCCAGGGTGCTATGACCCAACTCTGTAAGGGGAAATCAACAGAACAATGTGATCAATGATCCCAGGGTGACCTTTTGACTTCTGACCTATGTTCGTGGGGTCATTCTGTTAAGCATTTCACAAGCAGGGTAGCAACAACCCTGCAGTGGGTGGTGCTTCCTGAGGAAAATGACAAACATTGACTTATGTACATATTTTAAGATTTATTTATAGTTTGTAGTATGTGTGGTCTGCTTGTAGGTATGTGCACCATGGGCATGCAGTGCCCACAGAGGCCAGAAGAGGGCGGCAGATCCGCTGAAAGTAGAGTTATAGACAGTCGTGGGCATCCATGGGGGTTCTGGGAACTTAACCCAGCCAGCGCTGTCTACTGATGAGCCTCTCCTCCAGGCCTATCTTGGCCTTTCGTTTTAAGCTGTATTTTTATTTATTTCAGGGGGGAGGTGGCGTCAGAAGACAACTTAGAAGAGGCAGTGTTTTCAGGACTGGAAAAATAACTCAGAGGTTAAGAGCACAGGCTGTGTTTTCAAGGGAGATGGGATTCAATTCCCAGCACCCACACTGAGGTTCATAGCTGTCTGTCACAACAGCTCTAGGGAATCCAGTGTCTTTTTCTACACTCTGGGCACCAAACACACACATGGTGCACATACATACATGCATGCAGGAAAAACACTCATAGACATAAAATAAAGATAAATCTTTTTTTAAAGTCACTTGGAAGATAAAAGTAGTTAATGAATAAAGTGTTTCCTTTAAAGTACTAGGGGGAAGTATAGTTTATTCTCCCTTCCTACCCTGTAGCTCCAGGCATCAAATTCAGGTCCAAACAAGACAAAAATAAATAAATAACACATGATAAATCAAAAATACATGGACTCTCACCTTGTTCTGGCTCCATGTCAAAGTAGTCACTCTGGAATTTAGTAGCTCTTGATGTAATGGCCACCTCTCTTTCTACAGTCTGTTTCCATGTCTTCTGGTGTTTAGGCTACTTCAGCAGCTGAGGCAGGGGGATCTCTTGAATCCAAGAGGAAATGTAGCTAAATGAGCAGAGTGCTTACCTAGCATGCATGAAGCCTTGGTTTTCATCCCCAGCACTGCATAAACCTAGTATAGTGTGCACACGTCTAATCCCAGCACGCAGGAGGGGAAGGCAGAAGGATCAGAAGTTCAAAGCTGTCCTTAGCTACATAGTGAGTTTCAGGTCCACCTGGGCTACACGGGACCCTGTGTCAATGGACTTTTCTTCCCTGCCCACCAGTAACCAACAGGGAGACTCAGTACTAATTATAAATGTTAGGCCAATAGCTCGGGCTTATTACTAACTAGCTCTTACAACTTAAATTAGCCCATATCTCTTATCTAAGTTTTACCACATGGCTCATGGCTTGTTACCTCATCTTGTACATGTCCTTCTTCCTCTGTGTCTAGCTGGTGACTCCTGAGACTCTTCCCTCCTTCCCAGCATCCTCCTAGTCTGGCTCTCCTGCCCAATTAACAAATGAAAGTAATACATATTTACAGTGTACAAAGATTGTTCCACAGAAACCATGCCTTAAAGCAGACACAACACTTGAGGACGTGGGCCTGTCTCTTCCAGACTCCCATGAGCTCACAGTAGCAGCTTTGGGACATGGCCAGGGCTGAGGAGACTGAATGAGAATTGAGTGTCTGCCACCCAGGGCTTCCGGATGATTCGCAGGGGAGCATGCTCACATGCTGGATCTCATTGTGCCTTGGGAGGACGTGCTTAGAGAGTGTTCCAGGAGAGAGCCCTTCAGCCCTTACGATGGGTCGTGGACAGTGGACAGTGTTCTTTCCTGGGATCCATTGAGGGGCCCGTGTTTGTGAGGTAGACTGACCGTGCCTCCCTCGAAAGTGTCGCTGACATAGAACCTGCTGCACGTACTTACTGTAGACAGCTTGTGTCTACTCACTCCCCCCGTAAGCCGCATCCTCAAACGAGCACTCTGCCGCTTAGCCGTCTCCTCCTTCACCCAAATTCCCTTCCAGAATCCCAGGTTCCCAGGCAACCTTCAGATGAGTGACCGACAGCTGGACGAGGCCGGAGAAAGTGATGTTAACAACTTGTAAGTGGCCATCCTTCTCCCCCTGGCCCGGCAGGGAAGTAAGCTTTTGTGATTTTGGTTCCTGCTCCTGGAAATGGCGGGAGGCCCCAGTGGTGGGAGGCAGGCTGGAGTGAGGAGTCCCCGGGTGACCTTGCTGCTAGCGCTGTGTCTGTCTGTTATCCTAGCCCAGACGCAGTTGGACGTGGTTTCTCTGTCTTAGTCTCTCCAACCTAAACCCCGACCAAGGCCTGTCATCTCTCTTTCTCCTGTGGGACCTTGAGAGGCTTAGTCTTTAAATACCTTTCACGAGAGAAGCCGGGAAGGAAGCTGGGGTGTATGTCTGTGCAGGCAAGAATGCAGCTGTGCTCCCACGGGGATGCTCAGGGTGGGAAGCAGGACAGAGCCTGGGGAGGTGTGAAACCCTGACTTTGGTGGCTGGGTGTGACTCAGCGCCAGAGCCCCTGCCTAGACTCCCCAAGTGAGGGCAAGTGTGTGACCCAGTGGTAGAGCCCCTGCCTGAAACGACCCAGTGAGGGGCTGGGGGCGTGGCTCCTCAATGGTAGAGCACCTGCCTAGCGTCTCCCAATGACATGCTGGGGCCCCGGTTTAGCAGTATCATTCTTGCTTAGCATGTACAAGGTCATGGATTTATGGATTTATGCTCGGCACTGGGTGAGGGGGATCGGGACTATGGACTTTGATTTCAAGGTCATGGATTTATGCTCGGCACTGGGTGAGGGGGATCGGGACTATGGACTTTGATTTCAAGGTCATGGATTTATGCTCGGCACTGGGTGAGGGGGATCGGGACTATGGACTTTGATTTCAAGGTCATGGATTTATGCTCGGCACTGGGTGAGGGGGATCGGGACTATGGACTTTGATTTCAAGGTCATGGATTTATGCTCGGCACTGGGTGAGGGGGATCGGGACTATGGACTTTGATTTCAAGGTCATGGATTTATGCTCGGCACTGGGTGAGGGGGATCGGGACTATGGACTTTGATTTCAAGGTCATGGATTTATGCTCGGCACTGGGTGAGGGGGATCGGGACTATGGACTTTGATTTCAAGGTCATGGATTTATGCTCGGCACTGGGTGAGGGGGATCGGGACTATGGACTTTGATTTCAAGGTCATAGATTTATGCTCGGCACTGGGTGAGGGGGATCGGGACTATGGACTTTGATTTCTGGTTTTTCCTCCTGCCAGTTTTCAGCTCACGGTGGAAATGTTTGATTACCTGGAGTGCGAACTGAACCTCTTCCAGACAGGTGAGTCTCTTCCCAGACCGTCGTGTGGCTCAGTCACCGGACTCCCAGCCTGATCCGTGTGGTTCACCTGGCTCAATCCCTTTTAGTTTTGTTAAAGACAAACTCTCTGTGGCGTAGGCTGTCCTCGAACTCACAGCAGCCCCGCCTCGACCATCTGAGCGCTGGTATTAACAGGCTTGCACCAGCACGTCCAGCAGGCCGAGCCCTCTTGTTACCCCTGCTTAGCAGAGCTGACTGTCAGCCTCTGCCCTCTCCTCACATAGTTCTGAAGTCGGTTATTTCATATCAGATAGGGAGACCGGTTGCTCTGCCCCTCCCTCCTGGCCTCCAAGCTCCCAGAGGCTGTTTTGACCCTGCTGACAGTCGTTGGATGGTGGCCACGATTCCAGCCGGTCCGTCTGATTGTTGCTGAGCATCTACACAGGCATGCTTTCTGCTCGGAAGGGGAGTGTAATCGGATTTTCCTTTGGGCTGCCAGCCAGTTCCCAAATAAAGATATGGAGGCATTATTAATTATGAATGCTTGGCCTTAGCACAGGCTTGTCCAACTGGGTCTTTTAACTTAATCTAACCTGTTTCTTTTCCTCTATGTTTTGCCTCAGTTCTTTTTACCTTTCATTCATTGTGTGTGTCCTACTTTCCTGCTTCCTCTGTGTCTTTCTGTCTGGCCTCTGGTGTCCCTCTGTCTTCTCTGGAGCCCAAATAGCTCCTCCTACATACTTTCCCTGCCCAGAAGTTCCGCCTCTGCCTCATCCCTCACTATTGGCCATTCACCTTTTTATTAGACCAATCAGGTACCTTTAAGCAGTTAAGGTAAAATAGGAATGCATCTTTACATAGTTAAACAAATAGGCCACAATATAAACCAACACAATCCCTCTCTACTTAAACAAATGCAAAACATCTTTGCATAGTCAAACAAACATTCCACAAAAGAGGAGTCTGTCTTGAGCTCGGGATACAGCTCATTCCAGTACAGTGCTTGCCTAGCGTGCACACAGATTTTTTTAAAAATCATGAATGCATATAGGTCTGTGTTGGGGTATGTACACATGAGTGCAGTTGTTTGCAGAGGCCAAAAGGGGGCATCAGATCCCCTGGAGATAGAGTTAGAGATGGTTGTAAGCCACCCTGCCTTATGTGGGTGTTGGGAACTGAACCTGGGGCCTCTGAAAGAACAGTGTGCACTCTAAACCACTCAGCCACCTCTCTAGTCCTAATAACCCTATCGGGTTTTTTGTTTTTTTTTTTTAAAGCCAGGCATAGTGTTAGGTGGATTTCTGTGAGTTTGAGGCCAGCGTGATCTACAAAGTGAAGACGGCCTGGGCTGTTACACAGAGAAACTTTCTCAAAAAACAAACAAAAAAGAATGGGAGCAACTGAGGACGCCTGAGGCTGCCCTGTGGCCGCCATCCGTACCAGCCCACATGCGCGCTGCAGGCACACACGCACACACACATGCACAGAGGCACACGTACACACAGGCACAGGCACACACACACACAGGCACATGCACACAGGCACACGTACACACACATGCACAGAGGCACACGTACACACAGGCACAGGCACACAGGCACACGCACACACACAGGCACATGCACACAGGCACATGTACACACACATGCACAGAGGCACAGGCACACACATACATGCACACAGACACACACACACATACATGCACACAGGCACACGCACACACACATGCTTACCCACACAGCCAAAGCTGAAAGGCAGAGCGCTCTTGAGCTCCTCGCTGGTCTCAGCAGACCCTGGGCGATCGTCACCACAGAGCTTCCCACAAGAGTGTCTAGAGGCCTGGCCAGGCTGAGAGATGTACCTGCAGTCACTGCTAGAGCTGCTGCTGGGGGTCAAGTCCCATTCCCGGAAGGAGATGGAAGTGGCTGTGAGTTCTTGTCAAACAGAAGCTTGACACTGATGGCTGCTTTGCAGTGACATTGCTTTCAATTTGTGTCAAGAAAAAACTACCTTTTAATTAGGGTGGTTCTCTCTCTCTGTGTGTGTGTGTGTGTGTGTGTGTGTGTGTGTGTGTGTGTGTGTGTCAGAGAGAGAGAGAGTCTCTCTGTCTAAGCCACCAGACAAACACACTTACAGGGTCTCTGCAGACCAGAAAAATGAAACACATGAGGGCTCTGTGCTTACCCATGGACTGTCCACACATGTGGTAACACCAAGGAAGTCTTGTGTTGTGTGTTACATATAATCCGCAGGGACGGTGGGCAGCCAGTACAAGAAAGATAGTCAACCCTGGCGGGGGTGAGGTGGCAGCCTATAGTCAGGTACCCAATGGCGGAGTATAAAATAAGGTCATGTGAGTAGATGCCTGGAATAAGACATTTAGGGGAAAGCTGTACGCTGTTTGTAGAGTGCTTGCCTAACATGCACGAAGTCCTGGGTTCAAATCCCTGGCACTATATAAACCATGTGTGATGGTCCACACTTCTCCCAGCACCCAGGAGATGCAGGCAGGAAGAGCAGAAACTCAAGATCGCCCCGGCCGCATATTGAGTTCAGGTCCACCGGGGCTACATGAGACCCTATTTCAGGAAAGAAAATGTGTTGAGTGTTTCTGCTCAGACTTGGGGCAGATCTCAGAGGTATCAGTGGGGCTCCACACAAAGTTAGAGTGTCGTTCTCACCTGGTCATGACACATCGAGCTTTCTGACCATCAGGGGCAAATGTGTATCTGTTCCACCCGTCAGTGGCCACGTGGACTCCGCACAAGTACGTCTTAGGCTTGTGACTACCGTCAAGTGACTTAGGACGTATTTCCTTACCTGTCCGGTGAGGTATCATAGGGCTGAATGAATCACATGAGTCACTGCACCTGTCAATCACAGGCCATGCACCCGTCACCCAGCCCTTGGGAGGCTGAGATGAGAGGATAGAGCCCTGCTCATGCTATATAGCAAGATCCTGTGGCAACATGAAATTATCGCAGGGGGTACAGTTCAGGATCATAGCATTTGCCTAGAATCCTCCAATAAGGAATTAGGGGTATGGCTTAGTGGTAGGGTGCTTGCCTAAAATACCCCAGAGGAATTACAACCATGACTCAAGAGTAGAGCTCTGGGCTAAAATCCTCCAGTGAGAGGCTGGGGACATAACAGTAGAGCACCAGCCTAGAATCCCCACATCGAGGAGCTGGGTATGTGGCTCAGTGGTAGAGCCCCTGCCTAGAATCCCCCAGTGAGGGCCTGGGATGTGGCTCAACAGTAGAATTTTGTCGGACTTTTCTGTCCCACCAGCCAGTTCCCATTAATTATAAATGCTCAGCCTTGTTGCTAACTGGCTCTTACACTTGAAATTAGCCCACATTTCTTTTAAGTGCTGTGCTACATGGTGGTGCCTTGTTTTCAACTCAGCAAGTTCATCTTGCATGTCTACCTAGCTCCTCAGGCTCCTCCCCCTTCTTCCCAGCATTCTCTTTTTATCTGCCTGCCCTTCCTAACCTCCACCTGTCCAGCTACTGGCCTGTCAGCTTCTTTATTAAACAATCACAGCGACATATCCACACGGTGTGAAGGAGTATCCCACAGTGGATCCCTGCCTTTCGTATGCAAAGTCCTGGGTTCCATTCTTAGTTCCACAGAAACACAGAGTGCACGCTCAGATAAGTCTTGGCTGTGTGTCACCACCCCGGTTCTATTTCGCTGCAGGGATTTCTGCCTCACCGTGGCCTCTCTCCCCATCTTCCTCCACAGTGTTCAACTCCTTGGACATGTCCCGCTCGGTATCCGTGACCACAGCCGGGCAGTGCCGCCTCGCACCTCTGATCCAGGTCATCCTGGACTGCAGTCACCTCTACGACTACACTGTCAAGCTGCTCTTCAAGCTCCACTCCTGTGAGTATGACAGCCTCGACCATTCTGTGTGAGCTTCAGGCCGTTCCCAGAGACATGCAAGCAGCTCACGAAATACCCTCGGCCTTGCTCTGGTCCTAAGAGCCTGGGGTTCCTGGTCCTCTGAGAATGGAAGGGAGAAGCCCAAGCTTTGGATTTAACCCAGTCTAGCTCCTGACCTTGCAGACCTGTGTCTTAGGAGGGTTCTCACTCAATGTTCACCTCCAGCTCTACCTGTCACCATTCACCAAAAGTTCCTGTGTTCTTAGACGCACGCAGAGCACAATTGACCTACCTGACCTACACTTACATGAGCTAATGCAGTGACCTCCAAACCATCACAAGCCAGTTCCTTGTAACAGATGGAATTTATGGAGAAATAGAAAGCAAACAGCTGCAGGGCTGGTATAGCTTAGCAGTAGGTACCTAACTGAAGGTGTGGTTTGTAGCATTTGCCCAGAATCCCCCAGTGAGGGGCTGGGGTGTGGCTCAGTGGTAGAACACCTGCCCAGAATCCCCCAGTGAGGGGCTGGGGTGTGGCTCAGTGGTAGAGCACCTGCCCAGAATCCCCCAGTGAGGGGCTGGGGTGTGGCTCAGTGGTAGAGCACCTGCCTAGAATCCCCCAGTGAGGGGCTGGGGTGTGGCTCAGTGGTAGAGCACCTGCCCAGAATCCCCCAGTGAGGGGCTGGGGTGTGGCTCAGTGGTAGAGCACCTGCCTAGAATCCCCCAGTGAGGGGCTGGGGTGTGGCTCAGTGGTAGAGCACCTGCCCAGAATCCCCCAGTGAGGGGCTGGGGTGTGGCTCAGTGGTAGAGCACCTGCCCAGAATCCCCCAGTGAGGGGCTGGGGTGTGGCTCAGTGGTAGAGCACCTGCCCAGAATCCCCCAGTGAGGGGCTGGGGTGTGGCTCAGTGGTAGAGCCCCTGCCTAGAATCCCCAGTGAGGGGCTGGGGGCATGGCTTAGTTGTTGAGATCTTAACTACCATGCATAATACCCTGAGTTTCATCCACTCAATGAAGAAAAATTAAATACAGCTGGATCTGATGCCTATAGTCCCAGTAGCTTGGAGGCAAAGGCAGAAGGATCTCTGCTGGTTCAAGGCCAGCCTGAGCAAGTTCCAGGCAAGCCTTGTTTACATAGTGAGACACTTAAATAAAGCAATAAACAAATCAGGGCTAATCCAAGGGGTTTGCTTAGCAGCAGATCCCTTCTGCACCCTTAAGAAAAATGCATAATAATTGCCGGGCAGTGGTGGCGCACGCCTTTAATCCCAGAACTCGGGAGGCAGAGGCAGGCAGATCTCTTTGAGTTCGAGGCTGGGCTGGACCGACAGCCTCCAAAACAATACAGAGAAACCCTGTCTCGTAAAAACCAAAACAGAAAAAAAGAAAATGCATAATTTGCTGAGAGGGTGGCGCACGCCTTTAATCCCAGTACGAGGGATGCAGAGCCAGGTGGATCTCTGTGAGTTTAAGGCCACCCTGGTCTACAGAGCGAGTTCCAGGACAGGCTCCAGAGCTACAGGGAAACCCTGTCTCAAAAAAACAAGAAAAAAAAAAGTATTTTGAGAGCTGATGGTTTGCAGAAGTTTTTATCCTTGGTGCCCTGGTTTGAAATGTGGGACACTGGGCTGGACTGTCGTGTGGTTAGGGGTAGGCTGACAGGGCCTGAAGGGGTTGGGAGGGTTGGGAGGGCTGGCAAGATGACTCAGGGGAAAGAAAGGTACTTGCCACCAGCCTGATGACCTGAGTTGTATTTCCAGAACCCACATGATGGAGGGAAATAACTTACTGCTCAGGTTGACCTTTGACCTTCACACTTGGGTGCTCGGGCGCACACACAAAATCAATTTTTTTTAAAAATCAGGCTACTGCTGGCTTTGGATATGTCTCTGGTATATTTTAAAGTCTCCATCTTTAAATGCGGATTTCCCAGGTAAAGCTACTGTAAATCCTTACTGGGGAATCCGCATTTAAAGATGGAGATTTTAAACTATGCTCTACCCTGATCCACATTCCCAGCCCCTGAAGAATGCCCACAGCATGTTAGGACACCCAAAAACTTGTAGATATGAATGGATACTGTTCTGGTTTCATAGCCCAGAAAGGACAAGGGTGTATCTTAGATGCGTAAAACTGGCTGAGCGTAGGGATGCATGCCTGGAATCCTAGTTTGGAGGTTCTAGAAGAGAATGGGAAGTTTACTACCAACCAGGGCTACACAATGAATCCAAGGCCCACCCAGTTGACATAGTGAATCCCTATCTCAGGGGGGTAAAAAACAAAGTGAACTTAAAAAGTGCGCGCGCGCGCGCGCACACACACACACACACACAAGTAATGACCTTTTTATTTCATTAATTTATGTGTTTGTTTGTTTGTTTGGCGTGTTTGTGTGTGTGCGTGCGCGTGCACGTGCTTGTGCTCATATACACTTGTAAATTTGTAAGAGTCCTTTCTCTCCTTCCATCTTATAGTCCCAAAGACAAAAAACTTAACTCATCAGGTTTGGCAGCACCTGGCTCTACCTAATTCTCTCTCCAGCCAAGCCTGGTTATTTGAGACTGGACGAGAGAAATAGCATCACTCCGATTACCCCAAGGGTGACTGCAATTTTCTGTCCCAGGATTAGAAAGGCTTGGTGCCATAGGGTGTGCCTACAGGAAGCAGGCAGGGTGGACCAAATCCCAAGAGAAGGAGAGTCTGTAGCTTAGAAACATATCAGTTACAGGGAGAGAGTGCAGCTCTATTGGCTGAGGACTTGCCTAGCATGTGTGAAAGCCTGCACTCCCTCTCCAGCACCGCATAAGAGGTCGGTATGGCCCACACTTGCAGTCTCAGCCCTAGGGAGGTGGAGGCAGGAGAACCAAGTGGAATCTTCCTCAATTTGGCTTTTTCTGGTTTTTATTCCTAGTAGAACTGAGATCAGGGGTTTTGGAGTAGAAGTCAAGAGCTATTTCCCTCCCCTGTCGAATTTTACCCTTTCTAGATTGTTTTTTGAAACAAGGTCTCCATATGTAGTCCTGGCTGACCTTCAGCTCTCCATCCGCCTGGCTCACGTTCATCACTTTCAGCAATCATAGTTTATACACGAGCTTCGTGATTGTATCACTCGTTCCAGAACAAGTGAAAGCAAGCTTGCTGGCACACAGAAGCAGGAGGACCGTCATAAGTTCAAGGCCGGCGTGGGCTGTGCAGTGTGTTCCAGGACAGTCGGGGCTACAGTGTGAGACCCTGTCTCAACTAAACAAAGAGAAAGCACAGCGCGGTGGCAGGGTTTGCTGTTCCGGGCACTCGAGAGTCTGAGGCTGGAGGATTGCTGGAGTCCAGGAGTTCAAGGCCAGCCTGGGGAACATAGCCAGCATCCTGCCGTTCCTGTGGGATTCCCTTAGTCCCCAAACCTCAGGGGTGCCGGAGTGGGCTGGCCGGCCCCTGCCTCAGCCCCAGTGTGGCTTGCCTGACCCCGGTCTCCATGTGCTCAGGCGCTCCTTCCGATTTCCTCCAGGTCTTCCAGCGGACACCCTGCAGGGCCACCGAGACCGCTTTATGGAGCAGTTCACGAAGTAAGTGGCTCTAGAGAAGGGAATGAGGTCCGATCAGAGCGTTCTCTGAGAGCTGGGGTAAAATGCCTGCTGCATAAGCGCGATCGCCTGAGTCTGGGTCCCCGCACTCAGGTAAAGCAACCAGGCAGGGCAGAGGGCACACGCGCGCATGCGCACGAGTCCCTGGCCCGCGTATGAAGAGCAGAGAACAGTTTGCAGGAGTCAGTTCTCTCCTTCCACTAGGTGTGAGACTCAGGATTTAATTCAGGTCTCAGGCTTACTGACAGATTCCTCTACCCACTCTCGTCCTTCTTTAGTCTGAATGAAACCCCTATCCTATAAGTAGATCACATTGTTTTCATCCATCTGTCGATGCACACGGGTTTTGGCTAATGTGAATGGCACCATGGCGAACCTGGGTGTGCCGGTATCTCTGGGGTGTGCTGAATTAGATTCCTTCAGGTAGATGCCAAGCCATGTCACAGACAGACCATACGGCATTTCTAGTCTTTTCAGGGGACAGTCATACTGAGTTCTACCTTGGCTGTACCATTTTACCCACCAATCGAGGAGTAGAATTCTTCTCTCCACATGTTCTCACCCCCATTGTTTCTTCCTTCCTTCCTTTCTTTTTTTTTTTTTTTTTGTGGTTTTTCGAGGCAGGGTTTCTCTGTGGTTTTGGAGACTGTCCTGGAACTCGCTCTGTAGACCAGCCTGGCCTCGAACTCAACAGAGACCCGCCTGCCTCTGCCTCCCGAGTGCTGGGATTAAAGGCGTGCGCCACCAACGCCCGGCTTTCAGTGTTGGTTTTCTTGATGATAGCACCTCACACTTCAGAGAGAAAAACTCTCAATGTAGTTTGAATTTGCATTTTTTGCTATTGAGCCATGTATATGTATACATACACATATATACATACATGTGCATGTGTGTATGTATCATATCGGTGTCTTAGTTTCATGTCTGTTGGGATAAAATACCCTGATGTGAAACAGCCTCAGGATAAGGGGTTACTTGCTGTAGAGTCCCAGGTTCCAGGGTCTGTTTCAGGGGAGTCAAGGCGGGAACTTGAGGCGTCTAGCCACATCTCATCGGAGAGCGGAGCCAGAGTGAATGCGGGCATGCTTGTTGCTCAGACAGCTTTCCCTGGCCTTGTGCAACTCAAGGCCCAAAACAGGGAATGGTACCGCCCACGGGGGGCTAGGTCACCCCACATCAGTTAGCAATCGAGACAGTCCCCCGCGGGCCAGCTGGATCGAGACAGTCCCTTGTTGAGACTTTTTCCAGGTGATCCCAGTTCAAGCTAACCATCATGGTTTGTCCTGTGAACTGTTCATTTGTGAGGCAGCCATCTTCACGTCGTTTGTTTTCCCCGTTAACATCTTCATCCCTGACCATGGCTTCTAAATCCCCAGCTGGTGCCTCGCCTGCTGGTTTCCTAGGGAGCAGCCGAAGGACAAACACAGGGTTGAACTAACCCCCTAGTTTTCTCGATCCTCTGGGGAAGCCTGGTCCACCTTCTATGATGAATGACTTACCAAATCCTAGGAGACGGGCACTGGGGCTGGATTGCTGGAATGTGAAATTCCAGTAGCTTGCAAAAGCACTAACATCTATTACTGTTGGCACCAACCCAGAGAGACGGGGGCGTGCGGTCAGCTCATTTTATTTCCTTCCATTTTTTTCCCCTAGCTCATGAAAAACGTCTCCTATGAGTAGCTGCTTCATTTTCTCTCCCACACAGAGGCGAATTTTCCTGGAAGCCTCACTGTCCTGGAGTTCAGGGAAAGCTGTAGGAACGTCACAGGGGCACTTTAACCTTGGGGTCTTGTGGGCTGTGTTGAGACCCTGGGGAGGGGGTCAGTTGGTGGGGCTGAGCAAGAAGTTCTGTGCTGCAACCAAAGGTTGCTGGGACCTCAGCTTCTCCTTTATGCTGGCTTTCTTGGTCTTTGGTGTCCCCACTCAGGTGAGAGGCTTGACGAGGAGGGAGATGCTGTCTGGGGCTTGGTGTTTGGTTCAGGGCCACAATGCTTGTGTAACATGCATGAGGCCATGGCTTCCAAGCCCCAAGCACTGCGGAATAGACTAGAAGAAAGGAGTGGGAAGAATGAAGGGTAAAGTAGAATAGAATAGAATAATAGAATTCTCCTTTTCCAGTTGTAACAGAATCCATGAAACAAAGCAGCGTAAGGGAATTTGAGGATACAGTCCAGCATGGCGTGAAAGTAACGGTGGAGTAATGTGCTCATCCAAGCTAACTATTCCTAGGAAGAGAAATCTGCCAACAGTTGTCTGTAGTCCACAACCATGAAGAAATGAGTTTGGGAGACTGGGCAGTTTTCTAGTTTTGTCATTGTTGTGACAGAATGAATAACAATGTCACTTAAGGAAGGAATGCCTCACCGAGGCTCACAGTCTGAGGGTACAGCCCATCGCAGTGGGGAAGGCGTGGCGGCAGGAGCATGGGGGCAGGCGGCCAGTTGCACTGCCTCCACCGTCAGGAAACGTTTATTCACTTTGTAGGGCTGTGCCACAGTGTGCGTGTGTAGATCAGAGGACAACTTGAAGGCACAAGTTCTGTCCCTCCACCCTGTGGGCCCCAGAGACTGAACCTGGGTCATCCAGGTTGGCAGTAAATGCCTTGACCCACTGAGCCTTCTAGAAGGGCCCATGTTCTCCCTCTTCAGCCCAGAGGGATGGTGCTATCCAAATTCATAGGGGGAAGGGGGTTCTCCTGATCTCACTTAAAGCTCCGTGGAAACAGGGAAACAGCCTCACAGACAACACCCAGAAGCGTGTCCCCGTGGTGATTCTAGGTCCCATTGAATTGTCATCAAGACTGACCATGTCTGAGACTGTCCAGTCTTCATCAGCATCTGCAGTGTTAATTACTCTTTTCTCATCACTGGTGACTGAAAACTCACTGTAAAAGACCTCAGTCTGGCACAGCAGTGGTGGCGCACGCCTTTAATCCCAGCGCTCTGGAGGCAGAGGCAGGCGGATCTCTGAGCTCAAGGCCAGCCTGGTCTACAGAGCGAGTTCCAGGGCAGCTAGGGCTACACAGAGAAACCCTGGGTCGAAAAACAAAAAGACGTCAGTCTGTAATATCATTTTAAGAATTTAATTTGTGTGTGTATGAGAGAGAGACAGAGACCGGGGGGGGGGGGTGCCAAGGTGGCATGAGTGTGGAGATCAGGGGCAGCTTCATGGAGTCGGTTCTCTCTTTCCACCTCCGTGTGGCTTCCAGGAACCAAAGTCAAGTCGCCAGGCTTGCTTCTTTATTAAGATGACTAACCCACTGAGCCATCTCCCTGGCCCTATAGTGTCAGACCTGAGCCCTGGCTCTTTGGAGGGCTTGTGCCTATAAGGTGGGCAGAGGGTGGAAATGCTGGGGAGGTGTCCCGTGCACTCCTGGGCCTGGCAGCCGCCCACACCCAGCACCTCTGAGATGCTCGTGCACTCCCAGGTTGAAAGATCTGTTCCAGCGCTCCAGCAACCTACAGTACTTCAAGCGGCTCATTCAGATCCCCCAGCTGCCTGAGGTGAGTGCATCTGTTGGGCTCTGCACAGCCCCAGGGCCTGGCATGTGAGCATCCTGTAAAGCTGTGTCTTGCTCCTCCAGAATCCACCCAACTTCCTCCGAGCCTCAGCCCTGTCAGAGCACGTCAGCCCTGTGGTGGTGATCCCAGCGGAGGTGGCATCACCAGACAGCGAGCCTGTCCTGGAGAAGGATGACCTCATGGACATGGGTGCCTCCCAGCAGGTACGGGACCCTTGGGACAGGAACTTGGCCCATCCAGTTGCCCCCAGAACAGACAGTAGGAGAGGCTCCTGGCTTGGATGGGTGTATCTGCTCAGACGAGGTCTGCTCAGCTTTAATGTTTAGACACGGCGTCTTCACTGTGTTGCCCACGCTGTTCTCGAATCCCTGGGCTCTCGACATCCTCTTGCCTCTGCATCGAAGATGCGTGCAACTGCACTCGTTTGCCAGAGTGCTAGCTGGGCCCTCTTTCTCGTAAGGAGTGGGAGATAAGGCTGAGCCCCCTGCACCCCTGCACTTGGGCTCCTGGAGTGACCTTGGATAGGTCTCAGCCAAATCAAGGACACAGAGTTTGTCGGCACCGCGTGTGGTGGCGGCACAAACCTGTAATCACAGTACTTGGGGTGTGGAAGCAGGAAAGGAAGGATTCAAGGTCAACTCCAGCCACATAGTGCATCATGAGACCCTGTCCCCAAATGCACAGGGCAGGAGAGTTGGCTCAGCCATTATCAGTGCTTACTGCTTTTGAAAAGGACCTGCTTTGATTCCCAGCACCTATGGGGTGGCTCACCACCGTCTTTAACTCCAGTCCTGAAGGAGTCCACACCCTCTGCTGACCTGTGTGAGCACCAGGCACGCACACAATGCACAGACATACATGCAGGCTAGAAAGTGTTGTTTAAGCACTCAGACAGACAGACAGGAAGGAAGGAGCCAGGCACAGCAGCGCACACTTTAATTCCAGTACTCGGGGTAGAAGCAGGGGGATATTTCTAAGAGATTGGGGCTAGCCTGGTCTGTATGAGTGAGCTCCAGGCCAGCCATAGCTACATAGTATGCCCCGCCTAAAAAATAATAAAATAGTGAACCGCACGAGAGCCCACCCACCCTGCGCCCACACCCAGACGATTTTCTCTGCTCTCCCCGCACCCTTCCAGTCTCTGCAGAGCTCGTTTGACAACAAGTTTGATGACATCTTCGGCAGCTCGTGGAGCAGCGACCCCTTCAATTTCAACAATCAAAACGGTGTGAATAAGGATGAGAAGTGAGTCCGTGCTGGTTGGGAGCTCATGGCTTAGAAGGGAGATTGAATTCTGCCTGTGTGTGTGTGTGTGTGCGAGTGCGTGCGTGCGAGTGCGTGGGTGTTTGTGTGTGTGTGTGTTTATGCCAGAAGTCAACCTCTAGTGTCATTCCATAGTTGCCCTACACTTCCTTTGTTTGGTATCTGATTGTATATGTGATTGTTTATGTGTGTGTGTTTAAGTGTGGGGCAGTAGACATATGTATGTGTATATATATATATATATATATATATATATATATATATATATATATACACACACACACATGGGTGTGCTAGTACACTTGCCTATGTATGCCTGTATAGTGGCTAGAAATCTGTGTTGGGTATCTTTCCTACTGCTCGACGCCAGTGTGTGTTTTGTGTGTGTGTGTGTGTGTGGCCATGGAGGCCAAAAATAGGTATTCAGTCTCCTAGAGCTATGATTAACAGACAGCTCTGTTGCCCAGTGTAGGTCCTGGGAAACGGACTTGGGTCCTCTGAAAGAGCCAGTGCTCTTAACTGCTGAGCCATATCTTTGGCAAAGCACTTCTTTAAGAAAAAGATTTTGTGTTGTTATATTTGTTTTGTGTGATTGCGTGTGTTGTGGGTCCAGGGGTGGGGGTGGTGCCAGGGCTGCACTTGTGGGAGTCTGAGAGCTTCATGGAGTCGTTTCTCTCCCTCCACAAACTCAGGTTGTGGTCTTGGGAGCGCTCACCGTCACCTGCAGAACCACCTCAGCCACATTAAGGCCCCTTAGTGTCTGGGCTGTTAAGAAAGGGCCGCAGGTATAGCTCAGCGGTGGAGCCCTCTCTCAGCGTGCCTATGACCTGAGATTTAGTCTCCAGCTATGAAAGGGGGCAGGGCTAGAGAAATGGCCCGGTGGCTGAAGGAGGGCCCTTGCTACTTAAAGTTCATTTCCCAGCACCCATGCTAAGTGGCTCATTACCTGTCTGTAGCTACCGGGGATCCAACACCCTCTTCCAGCCTCCACACACGTGTGTATACTAACAGGCAGAGACACACGTAACCACTCCTCAAATAGGACCCCCACCTCCGTATCCCAGATCAGTCACTGTGAACCTGTGGGCATCAGGGTGAGACATCTAATGTTTAGGGTACAGTCACCCTACGTATCAAAGGTGATTGGCTCCAGAATCACCTCCACAGGCACAGAGTCCAGCCGCTGTGCCAGACTCCACTGTAAGGCTGGATACTATTTTCATCGAACCCACATTCCTCCTTTCTGTGCCCTTTAAATCACCTCTACATGACTCCTAGAGCCTAATATAATATAATCACTGCTGCGACGTTCATTTCTGTGGGTTTTTTTGTTTCTCTTTATACACCTGTAAGTGTTGTTCTGGGAGAGAATGACCGCTCTGCTCTGTGGTATTAGTGTGTAAGTCAGGACGGCTCCTTCGACCGTATCGGTCCCGGGACCTAGCAAAGGTTGCCAGGCCTGATGGCAAGCGTCTTTACCATTTGTGCCATCGCACCAGACCGTTATTCTATATTGTTTAGGCAATAATGGCAAGAACAAAGTCTATACATAGTCAGTCTAGATGCATTTTTTTTTCCTCCACAAATGTTTTCCATCCCCAGTGAGTTGAATGCATAGATAAAAAACCCACAGTTGAGAAAAGTTGACTGTAAAATTTATCCTGCTAAAAGTGATTATTATCCGTGGGGCTAGAGATGTGGTTTCACTTGTAGAGCCCCTGCCTAGCCTACAGAGGTAACCCGGTACCATGTAAACCAGGTACAGTCGTAATGTCTGTAATTCTAGCACACCAGGGGAGGGGAGGGGAGGAGGAAGACCAAATCACCCTCCATTGGGTGTCTGCTAACAAAAATAAAGTTGTTTTTCTTTGTTTTTATTTTGTTTGTTTGTTTGTTTTTTGTTTTTCGAGATAGGGTTTCTCTGTATTGTTTTGGAGGCTATCCTAGAACTCACTCTGTAGACCAGGCTGGCCTCGAACTCACAGAGATCCGCCTGCCTCTGCCTCCCGAGTGCTGGGATTAAAGGCGTGCACCACCAACGCCCGGCTTCTTTGTTTGTTTAAGACAGTGGCCCTAAAGTAATACCAGCTTCCCCCTCCTTTGCCAGTCTGTCAACCTACCTGGAGGACCGGGACCGGGTGGGGCATAGTGACACCAAGCCCATTCCTTCCTTCACAGGGACCACTTGATTGAGCGCCTGTACAGGGAGATCAGTGGGCTGACAGGACAGCTGGACAGCATGAAGATTGAGGTGCGTGCTCAGATCCACCCGCACTCGGGCCTCACCGGCATGGGGCGTTTGTCATTACCCATGCCTCGTGATATTACTTGGACCCCATCCTAAGACGGCCAGTTAGTAGGCACAACAAAGCCAGTGGACTTGGCCATCTCAAGGTCTCCACTAGAATTCATTGTCGTGACTTGTGACTTTAGGAAGGCCGTTAAGCTGGGTACCAGCATCCCTGCGAGCCCTGATTAGGGCTCGGCTGTCAGACGGTAATAAGGAAGACCAGTTTTTCTCATAAGGTCCTTGAGAAAGCTTGACTTAGGAGCTGGGGCCATAGCTCTGTGATAGATAACTTGTCTAAATCCATCAGTGCGGGGCTTGGAGTGTGATAGAGCGTCTGCCTAGAATTCCTCGGTAAGGAGTGGATGGTATGCCTCAGCCATAGAGGGCCTGCTTAAAATTCACCAGTGGTGGCCTAGAAGTGTGGCTCAGTTTTAGAGAGCTGGGCTAAAATGCCCCGGGGAGGGACTGGAGGCATGGTTCATTGGTGGAGGTCTTGCCTGGAGTGCCTCGAGGACTGGGGATGGGGTGGGGATGTGGCTGAGCAGTAGAGCACCTGCCTAGAATCCCCCAGTGAGGGGCTGGAGTATGGCTCAGTGGTAGAGCCCCTGCCTAGAGTCCCCCAGTGAGGGGGTGGGGTGTGGCTCAGCAGTGCAGCTACTGGCCTAACATGAATAAGACCCCATAGGCTCCCTACTCAAGAGCACCAAAACAAACAACAAAAAAATGTTTTCTGTCTGATTGGCTGGATCTGTGGGTCAGGAAATTTGAAGATACAGAGATCACCCATAATGGGTGAGTGCCATTCCTGTCCTGCCTGGTGCCCCATGGGGCAGCCTCACAGTGGCCTTCACCTGGAGTGTCCCTCGTAGAGCCAGCGGGACGTGCTGCAGCTGAAGGGTCGTGTGAGCGAGTTGGAGGCAGAGCTGGCGGAGCAGCAGCACCTGGGACGGCAGGCCACGGATGACTGCGAGTTCCTGCGCACAGAGCTGGATGAGCTGAAGAGGCAGCGAGAGGACACGGAGAAGGCGCAGCGCAGCCTGACGGAGATAGAACGTGAGAGCGTGAGGGGCTGGGCCTGACCGAGGGGGCGGCGGGAGCAAGGCAGGTCGCTGCGACTTCCCACGAGGGAAAGCCCTAGGTGCTGGACGGGTTTGGTGGCACAGTGCCTCTCCCGGGAGGGGCAGCTTCTACGAGAGCCACAGCGTGAAGACCTGAGCGGGAGAGTAGACGTGAACCTTGACGCCCCGCTGACAGGGCTGCTGTCGCTCTTGGTCAGGGGTTCTGTTGCTGTGAAGAGACACCGTGGCCACGGCAACTCGAGGGAAAACATTTCTAATTGGTGGGACGCGGCCAGGCGCCCACAGACAAGCGGCTGGAGCAGGAGCTGGGAGTTAATGCAGCTTGACTTGCAGGCAACAGGAAGTGGTCTACCTCACAGGGAGTAGCTTGAGCACAGGAGACCTCAAAGCCCGCTTCAATAGTGACACACTTCCTCCAACAAGGCCACACCCCCTGATAGTGCCACTCCCTTTGGGGACCATTTTCTTACCACACTGTGTTTGTAGGCATCGGTTTGCAGAAGAATTTGAATCAGGGGAATGTTTATTTAAAGAAGACAACCTTTATGTCCTGGTGTAGTACAGGTGCTTACCTGTAATTTCAGAACTCGGGAGACTAAGGCAGGAGGGTGACCATAATGCTAGCTTGGTTTGTGTAGCAAGGCTTTGTCTCCCAAAAAACCTAAATTAGTTAGACAACTTCTAGCTGAGTGAGGTGGTTCACACCTGTAGTTCCAGTACCAGGAGATGGAAGCAGGAGGATCAGAGGTTCAAACTCGTGTTGGCAACATAGCCAGTTTGAGGCCAGCCTGGCTACCATGTCTATTTTTTTAAAGCACTTGGGAGGCAGAGGCAGTGGATCTCTCAGTTCGAGGCCAGCCTGGTCTACAGAGGGAGTTTCAGGACAGCCCGAGCTGTTACACAGAGAAACCCTGTCTCAGAAAATGGAAGTTAGCTGGGTGTTGGTGGTGCACGACTTTAATCCCAGCATTCAGGAGGCAGAGGCAGGCGGATCTCTGTGAGTTTGAGGCCAGCCTGGTCTACAGAGTGAGTTCCAGGACAGCCTCCACAGAGAAACCCTGTCTCGGGGAAAAAAGAAAAGAAAAAGAAAATGAAAGTTAAAAACATTCAGGGCCCCAGCTTGTTGGAGGGAGGATGGGGGGATCCCAGCCAGGGCAGAGGCCTCACCTTGGTCTTTCCCAATGCAGGAAAGGCCCAGGCCAACGAACAGCGGTACAGCAAGCTGAAAGAGAAGTATAGCGAGCTGGTTCAGAACCACGCTGACCTGCTGCGGAAGGTAGGGACTCTGACCCCTCTAGTTCTCCCGCATACCCCACACCACAGGAGAAACAGTGTAGACCTCCTGTTTATTCTTCCTGTGTGCGTGTGTGCACGCACGTCTGTGTGTGTGCGCGTGTGCGTGCTTGTGTGTCTGTGTTTGTGTATATGTGCATGTGCGTGTAGTTGCTTGAGGAGGCCAGAAGAGGGCATCAGATCCTCTGAAGCTGAGATCACACCCAGCGTGGGTGCTGGGAAGCAAGCTTGGGTCCTTTGAAAGAGCAGCATGTGCTCTTCACCCCTCAGCCCTCCCTCCAGCTCTCACACCTTAACCCCAGCCTGTTAAGTCTTCTTGAGCTCTGTCTTGTGTGCCGGTCACAGTTAGAATCACGCCTCATTTGAGCTGGGCATGATGGAACAACACCTGTAATTTCAATCAGGAAGCAGAGACAAGATCCTGCGTGGAGGCACATGGCTTTACGCCCAGCACTCCAGGGCAGCCAGGACTAAACAGGAGGACCCTGTCTCAAAGAGTGATCACACTTGCAATCCCCAAACTTGGGAAGCAGAGGCAGAGGGATTGCTCCGAGTCTGAGGCTACCCTGGTGCTGTGTAGTGATTCCCAGGCCACCAGACAGCCACACCCTTACCCCATCTGTGTATTTTTGTAAATACCCAAAGTCTGACACCCGAAGGTCATGGCTCCATTCCGGCTTCCCTCTGGGTAGGAGAAACCTTCTTCTGTGTCCGTCTCCTTGACACTCACTGTCTGATAGAAGTCATTGGAAGGAAGATGGGGAGTTGAGCCTGAGAGATGTGATCTCAGGACACTCTTCTCCCCTTTCAGAATGCGGAGGTCACCAAACAGGTGTCCGTGGCCAGGCAAGCCCAGGTGGATTTGGAAAGAGAGAAGAAAGAACTAGAAGATTCCTTTGCACGTGTAAGTGACCAGGCCCAGCGGAAGGTGAGCAGGAGACGCAGGAGGGAGGTGTCCACTGGGAGTGGGCTTTTACTGTTCGTGTTATCGGTGCATAGATACGTATGTGTGTGTGTGCGCGCGCGTGTGTGTATGTGTGTGTGTGCGCGTGTGTGCGTGTGGAGGGGCATGTACGTGTACACATAACAGCGTGCGTGTTGAAGTCAGAGGACAGCCTGTGGCTTTAGGGTCTCTTCTTGCACCTTGTGGGTCTCAGGGTTTGAACTCGGATCGTTAGATCAGCAGCAAGCACCTTCAGCCGCTCAGTCATCCCCTGCGCTTTGAGGCAGGCATGGATCAGAGAGCCTCATCGCATGCTCCATGTTAGTCATCAGTTCTCACTAATGGCTGGCAAACTAACCTTCCTTACTGTTGGAAAAGAAAAGCTGCTGGCAAGGTCTGGGCTGTCACCTTCCTTCCAGCCTGCCCGTCACACCCACACGTGTAACTTAGACCCAGTGGAGTGCAGAGTACAGTCTCAATCAATACCTTGGGAAGTGTATATACATGTATGTATGTATGTATGTATGTATGTATGTACGTATGTGTTCCTGGTTTGCCTCCGTCTCAGACTCAAGAGCAGCAGGATGTTCTGGAGAACCTGAAGCATGAACTAGCCAGCAGCAGGCAAGAGCTGCAGGTCCTCCACAGCAGCCTGGAAACCTCTGCCCAGGTGAGCCACTCCCTGTCCCCCTCCCTCTGCTGCCTCAGCCCCTCCCAGGAGCCCCGTGGCCCCAGTTAATCCACACTTAACGCTGCGAGGCAGTATTAGGCACGTGGACAAGCCAATCACCTCCTGCCCTTTGGAGCCACTGGGTCTGGAGGCCCAGGGAGGGGCTGTTTAATTCCCTCAGTTTCCCCGTTTCCACATGGTGACCTCTGCAGTCTGAAGCCAAGTGGCTGACACGGATCGCCGAGCTGGAGAAGGAGCAGGGCAGCCTGGTGACTGCTGCAGCTCAGAGAGAGACAGAGTTCTCAGCCCTCAGAGAGCAGCTGGAAAGTACCCGGATCGAACTGGCCCGTGCCCAGGCAAGTAACAGACACCCACTGGGCCGCCGTGGACGCCAGAGACAGGTGTGCCGCGGAGGGGAAGGGTTCAAGGCCATCCGGCCTGGTGGCCAGGGTGTTCCCTGGACACAGTTCCTAAGGCCAAGTGCCTCTTTTGGGATAAGAAGAATGGTGTGTGGGCCAGGGTTGCCCCTCAGTGGGCAGAGCACTTGTCTGACGAGCACTAGGCCCTGGGTTCAGTCTCCAGACCATGTCCGCCGAGTATGCAGACGCACACCTGTAACCAGCTCTCAGGAAGTGGAGGCAGGAGGATCAGGAGGTCGGTTATCCTCAGCTCCTTAATACTGAGTTTGAGGCCAAGCTGAGATACAGGAGGCCCTGCCTAGTAAAATATGGGCTGGAGAGATGGTTCAGAGGCTCAGTGCCAGAGGACCTGTGCTGGGTTCTGGCTATCTCTAGAAATACTCTCAACGGCCGGGCGGTGGTGGCGCACGCCTTTATCCCAGCACTCGGGAGGCAGAGGCAGGCGGATCTCTGTGAGTTCGAGGCCGGGCTGGACCGACAGCCTCCAAAACAATACAGAGAAACCCTGTCTGGTAAAAACCAAAAAAAAAAAAAAGCAGAGAAATAATCTCAACGACACAGCTAGAGGTGTGCTTCTCTTACTCAAGATGACAACATTAGCAATCCTCAGGAAGTCATCTGCGTGCCACCCTGGGGGGATCACCCGGGGGGGTCACTGGTCCGCTGTGCACTCCTGTGAACCAAGGTCTGCACGGAGCTGACCGACGCCCCCATGAGAGGCCAGGCATCCCAGTGTGGTCCCGGGTGGATGCTGCTTGGGGCTCATGGTGTGCCTGGCTGACTCTCACCTCCCTGGCCTTTTTCTAGGAATCCATGTGCCAGCAGGTAAAGGACCAGAGGAAAATACTCTTGGCAGGGTCCAGGAAGGCTGCGGAGCGCGCGATACAGGAGGCGCTGAGCCAGCTTGAAGAGCCTGCTCTCATCAGCTGTGCGGGGTCCACAGGTAGTCTTCCAGATGCCCGCCTGCTGGGCCCAGCCGCCTGGTACTTCCTGTTGGGGCTGAATACCACAGGAAGCATAGCTCGGGGGCCCCCAGCCCAGCTGCATGCCGGAGCCCCTGGGGTGTGCCCGCTCTCCGTCCTAGGCCACTTAAATCAGAAGCTCTGTGGCTTACTGCCTGAGGGGTTGTGACTTCGTAAGCCCGGCAGGTGAGACAGACAGCCTCTGCCTCAGCCAGTGTCCTGTTTGTTACTGTGTCCCTCTGACCGTAGTGCATGACAGAAATGACTTCAGGAAGAAAAGGTTCATTTGGCCACAGTTTCAGAAGGTTCTGGTCCACAGTGAAGAGGAAGGCATGGAAAAGCAGCTCTCTTTGTGGTTGTGAGAACGTGTGGTAGAGTTGTTCGTAATCATGGTGGGCTGTAAGCAGAAAGCAAGACAGGAAATAGGCAGGAAGAGCGATTCCCAAGATCTGCCCCGGGTGACCTGTCCCCACCCCATAGGCAGACAGAGGTATATAGTGAGACTCTGTCTCAATTATAATAATAATAATAATAATAATAATAATAATAATAATAATAATATTGATACCGTGAGCTTTAAGAGACACTTAAGGTTCAAACCTTGGAGTATGCCATGCCCCTATAGTGAGCAGTCCGCTGAGACAATAGTAAAGTGAGAAGCAGTTCTGGAAGGCTGGGGACATGGCTCAGTGGGGGAGTGCTTGCTGTGCTTGCACAAAGCCCTGGGTTCCAATTCTAGTACCATGTGTCTGACGGTGTATGCCCGTGATCCCAACACTTTGGGGAAGGAGGCAGGAAGGCCAGAAGTTCAAGGCCATGCCTGGCTACTTGGTGGCTTCAAGGCCAGCCTGGGTTACCTGAGACGCTGTCTCAAAAGGAAGAAAAGTAAATAGATTGTGTCCATCACATTAGCACCAGCACAGGCAGCAGCTCTCCCTCTAGATAAGGGAAAAGCCCCGGGGGCAGGGACTCTCAGTGGGACACCCGCCCACCCAGCTGCTTGTGTAGAGCAAATTGTGAGAAGGCTTGTTCTGATGGTGCCCTGTCTCCCCTCAGACCACCTGCTCTCCAAAGTCAAGGCTGTTTCCGGCTGCCTTGGGCAACTGGAAAAGAGCCGCAGCCGGTATCTGGCCTGCCCAGAAGGTAAGAGGAACAGAGAACGAACGTGGGCTCTGTTACTAGGGGCAACATGCCAGGTTCAGATATATACAAAGGGGAGCTGGAGGGGTGGCCCAGGGGTTAAGAGTACTTACTCCCTCTCGCAGAGAACCCAGGTTCTGTTCTCCTGCACCCCACCTCACCTCAGGCTGCTCACAGCTGCCTGAAACCCCAGTTCCAAGGGATTTGACTCCCTCTTCTGGCCACTGGGGGTAACTGCATGCAGGAGCCTGTATCCCTACACCACCACTGGGCCTGAGACTTCCCTTCCCTTCCCTGCAGAGATCAGTGAGCTTCTGCACTCAGTAACCCTGCTTGCCCACTTGACCAGTGACACCATCATTCAGGGGAGTGCCACCAGCCTCCGGGCCCCACCAGAGCCAGCCGACTGTGAGTATCCGTGGAGGGGATGCCCCTGAGAGCAAGGAAAGCAGGCATTTAAACATCTCCCTCCTGTCTTCAGCTCTGACGGAGGCCTGTAGGCAGTATGGCAGGGAAACCCTGGCCTATCTGTCCTCCCTGGAGGAAGAGGAAGCCATGGAGAAAGCTGACAGCACAGCCATGAGGAGCTGCCTCAGCAAGATCGAGGCCATTGGCCAGGTATCGTTAGTGATGTGATTTGCTTTTAGTTGTCTGAGGCAAGGTCTCGTGTAGCCCAGGCTGGCCTCGAACTGTATGTAGCCAAGGATGACCCTGAACTCCTCTCTTGCCTCCATCTCCTGGGTGCAGGGTTAGACCACTGTACCTTGTTTATGTGGCCTGGGAATGGAACTCGGCGCTTCATGCATGCTAGACAAGTTCTGTACTAATTCAGCCACATCCCCAGCCCTGCCTGGTTTTCTGTTTGACTTTGAGATGGTCTCGGATAGACCAGCCTAGCCTAGAGCTTACCGTGAATCCAGGAATAACGTGGAATGGCTGATTCTCTTGCATCTACCTGCCACGTACTAGGATCGCAGGCGCAGACACACCATGCCTACCCATGGAGTTGTAGTGTGTGTCTTGGGTATCCACAAAATAACTTTGGGGCCAGGGAGACAACTCGCTGGATAAAGTAATTGCCTAAAATGCATGAGATCATGAGTTCAGTCTGCAGAACCCATATCAAAAAGAGAAAAGAAAAATGGCAGAGCAGTCAGAGGCAGACTCCTAGGGCTCTCCAGCCAGGCAACCTGGCCACCAATGCCCAGCTGCAAGCACCTGTTAATAAAGGTCTTAAAAAAATAAAATGTGAGCCAGGCGGTGGTGGCTCACGCCTTTAATCCCAGCACTCGGGAGGCAGAGGCCTCTGTGAGTTCAAGGCCGGGCTGGACCGACAGCCTCCAAAACAATACAAAGAAACCCTGTCTCGTAAAAAAAAAAAAAAAAAAAACAAAATAAAATAAAATAAAGTAAAATAAAATAAAATGTGGTGGTGCACGCCTTTGATCCCAGCACTTGGGAGGCAGAGGGAGGCAGATCTCTGTGAGTTCGAGGCCAGCCTGGTCTACAGGTGAGTTCCAGGGCAGCTGGAGTTACACAGAGAAACCCTGTCTTAGGGAAAAATTGCATCCGCCATTGGAAACAGAGAGATGGATGCTGGTGCTCAGCTCTATTTCTTCTTCTTCTTTTTTTTTTTGTTTTTTTTTGGGGTTTTTTTTGGTTTTTTTTTTTGGTTTTTTGAGACAGGGTTTCTCTGTGGCTTTGGAGGCTATCCTGGAACTTGCTCTTGTAGACCAGGCTGACCTCGAACTCACAGAGATCCGCCTGCCTCTGCCTCCCGAGTACTGGGATTAAAGGCGTGCGCCACCAACGCCCGGCTTTATTTCTTCTTCTTTTTATTCTGTCCAAACCCAAAGCCCATGGAATGGAACCACTCACATCCAAGTGGGTCTTCCCAACTGAATTAACCCAGTCTAGAAACTCCTTCACAAGCACGCCCAGAAGTCTGTTTCCATGGTGATTCCAATCCCATCGGGTTGCCAGTCAAGGGTAACCATCATAGGGCCACAGTGTCTGTAGCTGAGTGGCTCTGCAGCGTTGGGGACTGGTGGCCTCCCAGCGGGGCGTGCCTGTGAGACGCAGAGAAGGGGGAGCCTGAGGCTCCGTGTGGTGTTGCTCTACTCTTTGGGGGACCAGCCATCCAGCTCCCAAATAACCACACAGAAACCGGTTTATAAGTGCCCAGCCTTACGTGGCTTGTTTCTAGACAGCTTTTCTTAAGTTATCTCATCTACCTTTGCCTCTGGGCTCTTGTCTTTCTCTGTTTGACATGCCATTCTGTCTGTCTATTCCTTCGTGTGGCTGTGACTGGCCCGGTGTCATTCTCTCCTCCTTTTCTTGCTCCTTGATCTTCTCTTTCCAGATTTCTCTATTTATTCTCTCTGCCTGCCAGCCCTGCCTATCCTTTCTCCTGCCTTGCTATTGGCCGTTCAGCTCTTCGTTAGACCAATCAGGTGTTTCAGACAGGCAAAGTAGCACAGCTTCACAGAGTTAAACAAATGCAACGTAAAAGAATGCAGCACGTCTTTGCATCACTAAACGAATGTTGCACAGCTTAACAGAATGTAGCAACACATCTTTAACTACAGCTTAACAGAATGTAGCAACACATCTTTAACTACTGTTCCGCCAAGGTTCCAGCATTCGTATCATGGAAAGTTCCAGGTGGAGTCTGTGACAGACCCTGCCTCCCATGGTAGGGTCCCATGATAGGGCCAGGAAAAAGCAAAGAAAATGCCCAGTGTCTTTTAACCTTTGCAATACTGCTTGCAGGAACTGCTGCCAAGAGGCCTGGACATAAAACAGGAAGAGCTGGGTGACCTTGTGGACAAGGAGATGGCCGCCACTTCAGCTGCCATCGAAGCCGCCACCGCCCGGATAGAGGTGAGGGGGCTCCGTAGGATGTCCCACAGCAACACTCCCGTCCGCTCCCTCGGCCAGTGCTGCGCCTTGGGAATGTCCTAGTCCCCTGCCAAAGCAGCCAGAACTGCCGGGTGTGGTGGTGCAGACCTGTGGTGGGGTGGGGGCAGGAGGTTCATGAGTTCAAGGTTGTCCTCAGCCTGCGCTCTGTGAGATTCTGTCTCAAAAAGGAAGAGGAGAAGAACACAGAATAATCAGAGGCCAGGGTCACTGCATCAGTGAGGGAAGAAAATGAGGTCCTTGTGAAGAACGATGAGCAGTTTCCTACGAGGTTGGATGTGTTGGTGTCAGGCCACCCAGGGCTCAATTTTCAGACCACCTGGCTTGGATTTAGATTCTATTTCTGTAGAATGGCCATTGACTTACCTTCATTTCTGTTGCTGTGATAAAACACCTTAACAAAAAGCAACTTAGGGGAGAAGGGTCTATTTTTACTTACAGTTTGAGGGCACTACGGGGAAGTCACCGAGGCAGGAGCAGGAGGCAGCTCGTCTTATCCCATCCACAGTAAAGAGCAGAGAGCATTATACGTATGTATTTGATTGCCTGCTTGTGCTCAACTAGATTTCTCCACTCTCACACAGTTCAGGGCCACCTGTGTAGGGAATGGTGCTGCCCACGGTGACTGAGTCTTCCCGCCATCAGTTAACTTAACTGAGACATCCCACAAGCCAGCATGGCCTTGATGAGTGAGCTTAGGTCGTCAGGTTGACAGAGCTAGCCATCACTGTCATAATAAACCATTAGAGGAAGCCTAATAGGTGTCAAAGAATCCCTCAGGAGACACTGAGGGGGGGCCTGTTGGAAAGGTCTCATATGGCTCCGTTGGTAGAAGACTCACTCCCTGCCCTGTGTGAGCACGTGTCTTGTGGATCTGAGAGCAGCTGCCCCTGGTGGTCAGGTGTCACAGCTCTTGGTGTTTCATGCACAGCAGCCCGAGTGCCAAGGACAAGACTCTCACTCACTTGAGCAGTGAACTCCAGCTGCCTTCCATCGGGAGATGAGAGGTCTGGGGGTTTCGGGCTCACAAGGACAGAGATGAAGATAGCTAGATTCAGCCTTCTGTGCTGCCACACATGGTTGGATCTGGTGTATCGAGGCAGTGTATCAAGACAGGGTTCATGATACATTTGGGAACCATGCCTCTTAGGGTGGAAATGTAACTTGCCTAGAATTCCTCCAGTGAGTGGCTGAGATCTAACTTAGCAGAACACCTGCCTAGAATACCCCAGTGAGGGGCTGGGGTGTGGTTCAGTGGTAGAGCACCTGCCTAGAATCCCCCAGTGAGGGGCTGGGGTTGTGGCTTATCAGACAAACCACCTGCCTAGTATGGAGGAAGCCTGGGAGAGAAAACCAGACATGCTTCTTTTTAACAGGAAATACTCAGTAAATCCCGAGCAGGAGACACGGGAGTCAAGTTGGAGGTGAACGAAAGGTCAGTGTGAGCCTTGTGGTCCCAGTAGGTAAGCAAGGTCCCCTGAAAGCAAGACCCAGAGTGAACTGTCACTCACCAGCCAGCTTCCCTCCAAGGTTTTCCTGACTTAGGAAGTGTCCCAGTCACAGACCCTTTTTTTTTTTTTACTAGGATCCTTGGTTCCTGTACCAGCCTGATGCAAGCCATCAAGGTCCTCGTGGTGGCCTCCAAGGACCTCCAGAAGGAGATCGTGGAAAGCGGCAGGGTAAGCGGCACGGTGGTGTCAGCTCCTCCCCGTGTGCCGGAATCTGGTTTTTACGCTGGGCACCCATCTCGGGCAGATCTGCCATTCTTAGGGAAATCTCCCAGCCGCTGTGGGAAGTTGAGAGTTGCTGCCCTCAGGAAGCAATCAGTCAGCGCCTTGTAGCCCCTGCTCCCACTTGACACTGTTCCTGGGTCCTCAGGGACCAACTGAGGAGAGTGGGAAACGGGGTGGATCCCAGGATTAAACCTGGTACTGTCATCCCTCAGACATGGGAGACAGGTTCCCTATAGATTCCCAGCCCTGCAGATACTTAACCCCTTAAATAACTCAAATGCTCATAACGCTGAGGCAGGAGGATCTCAAGTTTGACCTTGGCATGGGCTACACAGCTGGGCCTTCTCTCAAAACCGCCTTCCTGAGTTGAAGATGTAGCTCAATTTGGAAAGGTCCTGCCTGGTTTCTATGAAAACATGGATTTCATCTCAAACTGCATAAAATCATGCACGGTTTAGTCCTAGTATTGGGAGGTGAGTTCAAGGCCAGCCTGGTCTATACATGTAGACCCTGTCTCAAATCAAAAAACGTTAGGAGCTGGAAAGATGGCTGAGCACTCCCTGGCCTTCTGGGGTCTGAGCTCAGGTCAGCGCCCACACCAGGTGGTTCATAACTGCCTGCAGCCCCAGCTCGAGAGCATCAGAGCCTCTGGCATCACTGGGCACCTGCCTGTTCTTACACAGACACACAAATAATCATTACAAATAAATCTTTTTTAAAAGCTGGGGATCTGGGCCTCGAGAGATGGCTGATCTTCCAGAGTCCTGAATTTCAATTCCCAGCAACCTCATGGTGGCTCACAACCATTGTTATGGGATCTGGTGCCCTCTTCTGGTGTGTGGGCATACGTTCAGGCAGAACACTGTATATACTAAATAAATTGTTTTAAAAAATGCTGGGGATTTGGTTCAGTTCCCAGCACCAACATGGCTGCTGACAACCACCTGTAACTCCTGACCTCCTCACACATGCGGTGCATGTACATGCAATCGAAATACTCATACGTGAAATGTGTTTAAAGATTAAAATCAAATAACTAACCAAGCTGTTATATTTTGCTTCTATAGGGTACAGCATCCCCTAAAGAATTTTATGCAAAGAACTCTCGGTGGACAGAAGGCCTTATATCTGCCTCCAAAGCTGTTGGTTGGGGAGCTACCATCATGGTGTAAGTGTCCGGTTCCAAGGCTCCCCCTATCCCCTTCCCCATTCCAGTCACCGCAGACAGTTGCTAAGAGAGAGAAAAGTATCCATCTCATAGCCAGCTGTAGTGGTACCCACCTGTAACCCCAGCACTCGGGGCTGAGTCTGAATAATAAGTTAGAGGCCACCCTGGGCTATACAACAAAACCCTATATAGTAATAGAGTGTAAAGTTCTGATGGACTAGAGCAATGGTGGAGAATTTGCCGAGCCCAGTCATCCCAAAAGCTTGTTGGTGTTGGTGTTGGTATTGGGTCTCTCTGTTTTGATTTTTGCAAGAGTCTCTTTATGTGTCTGTGGCTAGCCTGGAACTCGCTATGTAGATTAGGCTGGCCTTGAGCTCACAGAGATTCGCCTGCCTCTGCCTCCCAAGCGCTGGTATCAAAGGCATACAATATCATACCTGACCCAAAAGGTTCTTAAAATCTAGAAACACGCTGGGTGGTGTTAGCGCAACCTTTAATCCCAGCACTTGGGAGGCAGAGGCAGGCGGATCTCTGTGAGTTCCAGACCAGCCTGGTCTACAAGAGCGAGTTCCAGGACAGCCCCCAAAGCCACAGAGAAAGCCTGCCTTGAAAAAACAACAGCAACAAAAAAAATCTAGAAACCCGTGATTGTTTTAAAACATGAACAGTGGGATTGGGAGATGGGTTAGCCGTGCAGTTATGCATGGTAACCCTGAGGACCTCAATTCAGTCCCTGCCTCCCACATAAAAAGCCGTATGTGGTGGCATGCATTGGTAACCCCAGAACTGGGAAGGCAGAGGCAGGAGGGTGCCTGGAACTCACTGGCCAGCTGGTGTAGGCCTAATCTGCCAGTCCTAACTCCCATTAAGAGACAGTGTCAGGCCGGGCGTTGGTGGCGCACGCCTTAAATCCCAGCACTTGGGAGGCAGAGGCAGGCAGATCTCCGTGAGTTCCAGGCCAGCCTGGTCTACCAAGCAAGTTCCAGGACAGCCTCCAAAACAATGCAGAGAAACCCTGTCTCAACAAACCAAGAGAGAGAGAGAGTCTCACTGGGCATTGGTGGCCCATGGCTTTAATCCCAGCACTTGGGGGGTAGAGGTAGGTGGATCTCTGTGAGTTCCGGGACAGCCAGGGCTATACAGAGAAACCCTGTCTCAAAAAAACAAAACGAAACAAAACAAAAATGTCAGTGTCTCAGCTAGGTATAGTGGCGCATGCATTTAATCCCAGCCCTCAGGGGGCAGAGGCTATGTGGCTCTTTGTGAGTTCAAGGCCAGCCTAGTCTACAGAGTGAGTTCTAGGACAGCCAGAACTATATAATGAGACTTTGTCTCAAAAACAAAAGAAAGATCATATGCCTTCAATCGTAGCACTTGGCAGGCAAAAAGAGATGGAACTCTGTGAGTTTGAGGCTAACTAGGGCTATATAGTGAGATCCTGTCTCAAAATTCAAAAAAACTTTTTTATTAAATAAAAATATCTGAGGTGGCCGGGCGGTGGTGGCGCACCCCTTTAATCCCAGCACTCGGGAGGCAACCTCCAAAACAATACAGAGAAACCCTGTCTCGTAAAACCAATATATATATATATATATATCTGAGGTGACCTTCTTGCTTCCACACGCTCTCTCCCTCTCTCTCTCTCTCTCTCTCTCTCTCTCACACACACACACACACAGTCACAGGCACACACACCTATGCATATATACACAAAGAAATAAAAAAAGAAGTGACTATTACTGGCAGTTTAAAAGGGACCTAGGTCTCCCAGGACAACATAGGAGTAGAGTAAGCAGGCTGCCTCCAGGGACTTATGGGATCCTGATGGTTTCTGCTCTCTGCAACCTCATCCTTCCTGTCTCTTCTGGGCTCTCAGGGATGCTGCCGATCTCGTGGTCCAAGGCAAAGGGAAGTTCGAGGAACTGATGGTGTGTTCACACGAGATTGCTGCTAGCACAGCCCAGCTTGTGGCTGCATCCAAGGTAGGACCAGCTGGTGCTCCAGCACACTGTGAGGCTAAGTCAGAGAGGGCTCGAGCCCTGGAACCAGCCGCAAGGACGGGTGAAGATCCATAGCACTATTCGGCTGGGTCCTGAATAAAAGTTTGGCCTCTCAAGGTTTACATAGCAACCTCTCTAAAAAGCCTCGTATATGGCAGCAAGGGGCCCCTCCACCCAGCTCATCGCATGTAGGCCTTGCTGTTCTTACCACCATCAATAGGCAGCTCTGGAGGGTCCCAGGCATGCCAGCCTCCAGTAACAATGACATCATTCAAGGAGCATTGAGTGGACCAGGTTGACGAAGACCTGTCATCCCAGCTACTTGGGAAGATGAGGCAGGAGAATTAGAAGTTAAAGGCTAGCTCAAAGTGAATGTAGAGCCAACCTGAGCAACCTGACAAGACTTTGGTTCAGAATAAAAATTTCAAGCAGAGCCCGTGGCATGGCGTAGTTAGGAAAAGGCACTTGGTGCCAGATCTGATGGTCTGAGTCTGATCCCTGGGACCTGCATGGTGGAATGAGAGAAATGGCCCCCGAGACTCGTTCTCGTGGTTTCCATGAGCATAGCATGGCATGCACACCTACACGTAGATACCACGTAAATAAAATAATAAACACAAACTTAACATGGTCTGAGGATATTGACAAAGCGCTTGCTCCAGATCTGCTGGTAAGAGACAGGGGCCATGGCTCAGTGGTAGAGCCCCTGCCTAGAATCCCCCAGTGAGGGGCTAGGGTGTGGCTCAGTGGTAGAGCCCCTGCCTAGAATCCCCCAGTGAGGGGCTGGGGTGTGGCTCAGTGGTAAAGCATATGGCCCTGGGTTCCATTACGAATATCCAAAATCAAAAGAGTATCTGTTCACCAGACACGGTGTCTGTTAGCCAGGAATGCTGGCATATGCCTTTGACCCCTACACTCAGGAAGCAAAGGCTGGTCTATATATTGAGCTCTAGGCTTGCCAAGGCTACAAAGCGAGACCCTGTGTTAAAAAAAAACAAAGTATTTGGTAATGAAGCTGATTAGCGAGGACTACAGGTTACTTGGCATGGCCCTTACGGCCCATGCAACCAAAGCCTGCCCCTCCTATATCTCTGACCATGAGCCGCAGCCCCATTTAACCACACGCAAAGCTGTTGACCACTGTATCCACAGTGACCCGGAACCGCACCCCATGAGTGCTCTTACTCCACCCTCATTTCTTGGACCCCAGGTTTTCCCACACACGGAAGAGTTCTTCCAGCAGCCGTGCAAGCTGGAGTGCAGGGAAACCCAACCTCCTTGCCAGGGTCACTTCCCACTCAGATGTGTCAGGGGCCGGGCCCGCAGTGGTTAGAGAGGTTGGCTGGTGACAACAGTCTGTTTGCTGAGGGCCACCAGGCCAGCTGTTTGGTCACATCCTTGCTGCTTCTGATGTATTGTGAGCATGAATGTCCTTTGTCCCGGCAGGTAAAAGCTAACAAGGGCAGCCTCAATCTGACCCAGCTGCAGCAGGCCTCTCGGGGAGTGAACCAGGCCACGGCTGCTGTGGTGGCCTCAACCACCTCTGGCAAATCTCAGATTGAGGAGACAGGTAGCCTTTCAGCCGCTCTGGATCTCTTTCTCCGTGATCTCAATGCAGTTCTGTCTGTCTGTCTGTCTGTCTGTCTGTCTGTCTGTCTCTCTCTCTCTCTCTCTCTCTCTCTCTCTCTCTCTCTCTCGATAGGACCTCACTTTGTAGTCCTGGCCTTAAAACACACAGAGCTCCACCTACCTCTGCCTCCTGAGTGCAGGGATTAAAGGTGTGCACCACCTCACCCAGATGTTCCTGGATGCCTTCTTAGGAAGGATGTGGAATGCTTCCCTGGCATGTGTGGGGCCTGGTTGTCCCTTGGGTCTTTTTGCGTCTGTGCTGATCTCCTGGAGCAGGGTCTCACTAAGCATGATTTTTTTTTCCTGGTTTTTTGAGACAGGGTCTCGATGTGTCACCCTGGTTGTCCTGTAACTCACTCTGTAGACCAGACCAAGCTGGCTTTGAACTCAGAGATCCACCTGCCTCTACCTCCCTGGTGCTAGGATTAAATGCGTGAGCCACCACCGCCTGGCTGGAGTGGAGACTATTAAGTAGATTTTTCTGCCCGCTACTTCCCTGGGGTCAGAGAAAAGTCGATAGAGGTCTGGTTGTCTCCAGAGAGTCAGACCCTGGTTACCAATGAATTGGTTAATTTTCTCATTATCGTGGGCAGACCAAAGACCCTGATAAAAGCAACTTTAAAAAGGAAGGATTTGGGCTGCATGGCTCAGAGGTGACTGCTGCCGAGGCTGGTGACCTGAGTTCCATGCCTGGGACCCACGTGGTGGACGAAGAGCCCTGGCCTCCCCTTGGTGTCCACTCTCACAGCACGACAAGTGTGTGTGCACACACGCTAATAAGTGTGAAAGAAAAAACGAAACCATTGAGAAGGTGGGGTTTGCTTTGGCTCAACGGTGTGAGGGCGCCGCCCACGGTGGGGAGAGTGGGGGCAGGAGCGTGGAGCCGCTGCTAACATCGGACCCACAGTCAGGAAGCAGAGGACGGTGAACGCTTGTCCCCACACTCCCCCACCTTGCTTGACGGCTCTCTCTCTTTTTTAAGATTTATGTATTTATTATGCATACAGTGTTCTGCCTGCGAGTATGTCTGCAGGCCAGATGAGGGCACCAGATCTCATTATAGATAGTTGTAAGTCACTATATGGTGGCTGGAAATTGAACTCAGGACCTTTGGAAGAGCGGCCAGTGCTCTTAACCTCTGAGCCGTCTCTCCAGCCTGAAAGCTCTCTTTTTGTCTGTTTTTTTGTCTCATTGTGTGCCCCTGGCTGGCTTGGAACTCACTACGTGATCAGGCTGTCCTCAAACTCAGAGATCCTCCTGCCTCTGCTCCCGTTAGTGCTGGGATTACAGTCATCCACACCTAGTTTCCACTTTTCTCCTTTTAATTCGGTCCCGAACCCAACCCATGGAATAAAGACTCCTGCCTGCGTCTAAGATGGGCTTTCCCACTTCAGTTGACCTCGTCTAGAAACTCCCCACAAACACTCCCCACATGTTTCCATAGCGATTGCCCTTCTCATCCAGGGAGTGGTGAGAGTCCCACTGGGAAAGAGAGCTTGTCACTAAGGCCGACAACCAAGTTCAGTCTCCCAGACCCTCGCACACGCATGTACATACATGCCATGCTCCTGTATACACACTAATAAACACACAAAGAAGGGCATGCCTCTGGGGCCCTGCTTCTGAACATTCCACAGCCTCCCAAAATAACACCAGCAGCTGGGGAACAGGTGCTCCAAACAAGAGCCTATGGGGCAGTTCAGCTTGCAGCCATTATGGTGGCAAAGGGCAGACGGAGCTCTGCAGTGGGGAATTGCCCTTGTCCTCGACGCTAGTGGCAGCTGTGGACGTGATTTGACTGGGTCTTCCTGTATCCACCCTCGCAGACAGCATGGACTTCTCGAGCATGACCCTGACCCAGATCAAGCGCCAGGAGATGGATTCTCAGGTAAGGAAACCGTGGCCGCGTCTAAGGTTGGGTTGTCTCCGTTCCCTGCACGTCAGCCCCAAGTATCATTCCCCTGGGGAGAAGCCAGAAGGAAAGACAGTAACTCAGGGGAAAATGAAGCCAGCTGTGGGGCATGCACGCAACAGTCCCAGTACTTGGGGTACTGAGGCAGGAGGACTGCCATGAGTTAAGGCCAGTGTGGGCTACATAGCAAGACTCTTAATTTAAAAAAAAAAAGTGGCTCAGTTCACAACAACCTGTAACTCTAGTTCTAGGGGATCCAGCACTTTCTGAGCTCTGTGGGCACCTGTACTCACTCGAATATGTCCCCTCCCACATAGGTACACATAATTAAAGATGGAAAAATGGGGGAGAGAAGGCCAAACGTTGTGTTGTACACCTGTAACCTGGCACTGGGGAGGTGAAGGCCAGTCTATGCTACGTGTAACCCTGTCTCCAGCCCCTCACTGGGGGATTCTAAGCAGGTGTTCTACCACTGAACCACACCCCAGCCCCTGTCTCAAAAGAGAATTAAACTAGGGGCTGAGCTGTAACCTTAGCAGGCTCATCTCAGGCTGGGGAGATAGCTCAGTCAATCCAGTGGATTCCAGTAAAATGTGGGCATGGGATGGATATGGTGGAAGAAAATATGAGACAGAGAGAGACCAGAGTGAGTCTAAAGAAGGCAAGTCCAGAGAGTGGCTAAAGGAGCATGACAAGGGCCAGGTGTCACTTGGTCTTATAGCACCTGCCTAGAATCCCCCAGTGAGGGGCTGGGGTGTGGTTCAGTGGTAGAGCACCTGCCTAGAATGCCCCAGTGAGGGGCTGGGGTGTGGCTTAGTGGTAGAGCTCCTGCCTAGAATCCCCCAGTGAGGGGCTGGGGTGTGGCTTAGTGGTAGAGCTCCTGCCTAGAATCCCCCAGTGAGGGACTGGGGTGTGGCTCAGTGGTAGAGCTCCTGCCTATCATAATCCCTGGATCTAATCCCTACTACTTCAGAGACTGAGAGACACAGCAGAGAGGTGGGTGCATAGCTCACTGGTAGACCATTCAGAAGGCTAAGATTCTTAAACTAAATTAAACCAATGGCAGACTCTCTCGCACCCTTTTCCTACAGGTCAGGGTGCTGGAGCTGGAAAATGACCTGCAGAAGGAGCGTCAGAAACTGGGAGAGCTTCGGAAGAAACACTACGAGCTGGCTGGTGTTGCCGAAGGCTGGGAAGAAGGTGAGCCTGCCTTGGGTACTGACTGCTGGTACCGCAGAGGGGCGGCCTTTCCCTAACAGAACGGGTCCCTCTGGACTGCCATTTCCTCCTCGTCCTCTCCGCTTTCCATCCCCCTTTAAACCTGAAGGTGGACATACCGTAGAGAATTTCAGAGCTTCCAAGCTTCAGCATTAGCCTGGGTGGTGCATACCTGCAAACCTAACACTTGGGAGACAGAGGCGGGAAGATTCAGGGTTTGGAGTCACCATAGGCTACCTGGCCAGAAACAAACAGACAAACAGAGTGTTATACAAAACCTCCACACTGACCACTGAGCTTGTGACTTTCTTAGTCACTACAGTGCCAGCCAGGTTGCTAACTTTGCTTTTGTTGTTTTGCTTTTTTTTTTTTTCAAGATTTATTTTTGCCGGGCGTTGGTGGCGCACGCCTTTAATCCCAGCACTCGGGAGGCAGAGGCAGGCGGATCTCTGTAAGTTCGAGACCAGCCTGGACTACCAAGCGAGTTCCAGGACAGCCTCCAAAGCCACAGAGAAACCCTGTCTCAAAAAACCAAAAAAAAAAAAAAAAAGATTTATTTTTATTTTCTGGGTATAGACACAGTTGTGAGCTGTAATGTAGGTTCTGGGGCTCAAATTTGGGTTCTCTGGAAGAACAGCCAGTGCTCTTGACACGGCGTGAGGAGCTCGTGTGTGCATGAGGCTCTGTGTGAAATGTTTTGTGGTGGTTGTTTTTAGGGACAGAGGCTTCACCTCCTGCTACTCAAGAAGCAATACCTGGAAAAGAGTAGAGCCAAGCCAACGCCCCACGTGTCAGAATGTAAATCCTCGTCACCCTTCCGTTTGTGAGGCCCTCACCATGGCACACCAGGGTCATCGCAGACCCCTCCATTGGCAAAAGCTGAAGCCCGTCATGCCCCCTCATGCCACCGCCTCTGTTGAATGCATGATGAGTTCTTTCCTCTGTCCCTGACGTCCAGGCAGGCCAGTGTTGGCCATGAGCAAGCTCAGGTCCACAGAAAAACGGCGACATGGCCAGCCTGTCCTGCCTAATATCCAATTCCAGTCACATCCTTCCTGGAGAGACTTCTTGTCATTGGGAGCTTGGGGGGGTAGCTCACCCTGTTCTCCCCCCACCCCTTTCTTAGTCTTTTGCATTTTGTCATTTGCACAAACTTGTGAGCATCTGAACTCTGCTGGATTCCAATCCAGGCCACGCCACCTGGATGCGCAGTCAGAACGGGAACGGGTGGCCTGGCGGGGAATGCCAAAGCAACGGCTCGCGCTCCACACTACGCTTTTGGCAGTTCCCAGGGTCCCCTCCTGCTTATTGTTAGGTAGTTATTTGGGTCTTCTGGTTTTATATTTTGAAAGTTTCACACCGCCAACTTTCCCAAAAAGGGTTCCAACCCCTACCCTCCCTGAGCTCTGAGCCTTCTGAGAGGAAGCCCCCACACACCATGGTGCAGCCTTGGTGCTCCAGCTCGGCTCTCCCGCCAGCCAAGGCCACTCCCCCAGGGTGACAGCTGTCCTCTGAAGTCTGAAGCAGAGCTAGTGCCTTTAATTTTCTGACCCTGGGTGCCATCCTGAGGCCTCTGTCCACCTTCACAAGCCAGGGAGCATCAGAGGTTTTTTTGTTGTTTTGTTTTTTAAGGTGCCAGGGCCCAGCTGTTGAGAGGACATTTTTCTTAGGAGCTCATGTGACCAGGTTTACCACCCCATCACATGCTGGAATGGGGCTGGTGTGGACAGCAACACTACATCCCCAGAGCAGACGTCCTGTGCCGTGTCACGTGGGCCACCTTGCGGCAAACCTAGGCAAGGCCCTAGGAGGGACAGACGTAAAGGACCCGGAAGTGGTTCCTCTGCTAGCTGCCTGCTTCTGCGTCCTGCTGAACCAGAAAAGGATGGCTGCCTGTGCGGCTTGCTCAGCAGACTCACTTGCTCCCATCAGGAAGGGAACTCCACTCGGGGTAGGACTCTTCATATTTATTACTAACAGTCTTCACGCGACATCTGCCCCGAGAGGCTGGGAGCAGTCAGGACTGAGGGTGTCTGGCTAGTCCTCTGCCATCAGTCTTCACAGACCACAGACAAGACTAAAGCACCAATTGTGGTCATTTCTGGGCTTGGAGTTCAAAGCAGGCAGGTTCCTTGAAGCATTGAGGAGCAGGGAACAGGAGAAAGAGGATCATTGACTGTGACACCATCCCCACCACTACCCAGTCCTGCTCCCATGACGACGGGATGGGGACAGAAGGCGTCCCGCCTGGATACGAGCAGCCGGACAGCACTTTGCCACTCTCAAATGGACCACGGAATTAAGTGACCTTCTGATCTTTAGGATGGGGCAGGGAGGTGGCGTCTTCCTTCTTTTCTGTAACTGTTAGGTGGCAGGCAATAAGCGCTTCCTTGAACCTGTCCCCAGCGGGACATGGCTGGGCTTTGCTGGGTGATGGGTTGTGAGACTAATTATTGTTTGATCACTGTGAATCAGCCCCCTTTCCGGCTCCACCCACCCCCACTCTGTCCCTGAGTGTCTTCTAAGCCAGCACTCCTAAAACTCCCAGCAACTGAGACACATGACCGATATATTGGGCTGTAGGAGTTACCTGCAGTAGAAGCGGTCCATTCTGGTGCCAGAAGAATGTTTCTCTGCTCAGCATTTCTTGAGTCCAAGGACCAGGACAGACAGTGTGTGGCATTGTTGGCCCATTTGTGCCACTCAGGCCAATCCATGTGCGCTGCAGAGGTCAGCTTTCCCAAAGGTGTCTGTTACACAGTCAGCCCTTGCTTCTGGTGTTGACCCATTCACACGTGTGAGTCCCAGCAAGAGGAGATCACACGCACAGCGATATGATAACAACAGGTGAATGAATAACACACCTGTCTGAAAAGCCCGTCAAGCCCTGTTAATCTCTTCCTGAGTAGCAAAACAGTCAAGAGCCCCTGCACGAGGTAGGTCGTCAGCACAAGGTTCCTACCTGCTCGGTGTTGTGTCGAACTTCTTAGTGTAACTCAAGTCAGAACTGCCTTAGTCTAGCCAGGATTGATAGTGCATACCTGTAATCGTGGCGTTCGGGAGACTGAGGCAGGAAGACCCTGAATTTAGGGACAGCCTGGGCTACATACTTGTCTCAAAACAAAAATTAAGTGTAATTAGATTATACATGTGTGTTATGTATAGATTATATGCAACCTTTTGGTTTTTGGAGATGGGGTTTCACTGTGTAGCTTTTAGAGCCTGTCCTGGAACTCGCACTGTAGACCAGGCTGGCCTTGAACTCAGAGATCTGCCTGCCTCGGACTCCTAAACGCTGGGATTAAAGACGTGCACCACCACTGTCTTTGGAGACAGGGTCTTATATAGCCCTGGCTGGCCTCAAACTAGGTAAGGGCATCTCATTGTCCTTGAACTCACAGAGATTCCCTTTCCTCTGCCTCCCAAGTCCTAGGGTTAAAGGTGTGAGCCGTCTCACTTAGCTTAAACCATCATTTGTTGGCTCTGCTGCTACCTAAACATGAGTCTTTAACCCAGTGGCTGGACAAACCAAACACTGAAAATTCTTAGAGCTCAAAAGGAACTTCACAGCTTTTTAAAGCCCTCCTGGGTCTCCTTAGACTAAAGTCTGCTGCATGCCTGTTGACAGATCCTCGGGACAGGGAACTCCAAAACAATAGAGAAACCCTGTCTCGAAAAACCAAAAAAAAAGAGTAAGTTCTGTCCCCAGCACCCACATCATGTGACTCACAACTACTTTTAACTCGAGCTCCAAGGGATCCGACACCCTCTACTGGAGGGGAGGCATGCACTCACAGATGGCCACAGGTACATCTGAGTAAAAATAACTCCAGTATGCTTTCAAGATAGAAAACTGGCAAAATGATGACTTAGGTGGGGTGAAGAGGGCACTCGGATCCAGCTGCTTGTCATATTTAACTTGGTACCACAGCTTTCTAGTGCCTCGAGATTAAGGGTGTGTGTGTATGTAAAAGAAGACCTACCTTCCTTCTGAGCAAGGAAAATTAAATTACACCAGGCTTGTCAGTACATGCCTACAATCCAGCACTTGGGATTCTGAGGCAGTGGGATCATGAGTCTAGATCAGGTCTAGCCTGGTCTATATATATATACTGAGACCTTATCTCAAAAAAGCCAAAAGGTAAGACTATAACATCAATGGCTTGTTGACTGTACTGCCCACAGCACTATTCCTAGAATCAGGCATGTATATGTGCCCTTAACCATGTCACTGGGAGAACCAAACACCCTGTCTCACAATGGACATGGCTTTATACTAAGTAACTTGAGGTCACAAGTAATTACCATCCTGATCACATTAGTCTGCAATCACCTCTCTCATCTTAGAATTGGTTCTCATCTTATGTCTGGGGGGAAGCTTACTTCTTGCTTAGTGGCTTGGTTGTAGAAGGGTCTCCAGCACCATTTAACCCCTAATTTTTGGGGGGATTGAGACGGGGTTTCTCTGTGCGTACCTGGCTATCCTTGAACTCACAGTGCTCTGCCTGCCTCCTGAGTGCTGGGATTAGAGGTGTTGGCCGCCACCACCCGACTCAACCCTAACTTTTCATAGCTGGCAAATGTGCTGCTCTCCGTTCCTTTCCACGTCTCTGGGAACCTTGCTAGGACAGCAAGCCCTGGGTCCAACACCGGCCTGCCAGTAAGCGTGGCCTTGCCTTCTGGGGTCACCCTCCCACCAGAGAGCTTTGCCCACTCCGCCTTCCAGCCGGAGCAGTTTTGGCCTCTCTCCGCCTCTCGGGGTCTCGGAGACCACACTGTGGGATTGGAAACTCACTGCAGCACTTGGCAGCCATCAACAGAGATCCGCAACAGCCGCTGGCCACCCTTGTGGCCCAAGTCCAGCCCAACACTGGACTGTCCAACAGAGTGGTGGAGGGCCTCGCTCCCTGGAGCCAGGGTCAGAAGGGTTAGGTGTGACTGCATCCAGTCCAGAGCTTGTAGGTCCTTCCAGACATGTTTTTCAGGTGACCCTCAACTACCTCAGGTTTGAAGACCCTAAGTCAAACTGATCAGCATTCTAGGGACAAACCGAGGAATTCCATTAAATCTTGGTGATGACCTAATGTCTCAAGCTATAACAGACTCTCAAATGTATGTGCAGGGATGGGGTTGGTTTTCGGTTTTAACCTTTCTGTTTTTAACCTTTTCCACAGTTTTCTTTAGAATAGTCCCTGTAAGTGAATTTCACCTTTCACCTCGTGCCTGCCTTCCCAGGGCAGGTGGCCTCTGGTTCTTGTCCCCTCCCAACAGTACTTTTATTATGGAATGAAGCCCTCTCTTTGTATAATGCATTACATCTGTGTTTTCAACTTTTCCAATAAACACGTCAGCGTGGCCGCGGAGAACAGTGACGACAAAGGGCCAGTAGAGTGACGCGAGGGGGCTCGTCCCAGTGTCTTGTTTCTGTGTTCTGAGATCCGTGGGGTCCACTTGACAGCTCACAGCCACTAACTCCAGTTCCAAGGCATCCAACTCCATCTTTGGCCTCCTCAGGCTAGTACACATACGTGTACTCAGGCACACACACCCATACGATACACAAACAGATTTTTGCTGTTTTTGCTTTTCATTGCAGGATTTCTCTGTGCAGTCCTGGCTGTTCTGTAGACCAGGCTGGCCTTGAACTTAGAGATCCACCTGTCTCTGTCTTCTCTGAGTGTCAGGACTAAAAGGCATGCACCACCACACCCAACTTGCTTTCCTTTTTCTTTTTCTTTTCTTTTTTTTTTTTTAAATCAGGCTTTCTCTTTAAGTATTAAAAAAAATACAAAAAGAGCCGGGCCGTGGTGGTGCACACTTCTAATTCAAGCATTCAGGAGGCAGAGGCAGGTGGATCTCTGTGAGTTCCAAGATAGCCAGGGCTGTTTCACAGAGAAACCCTGTCTCAAAAAACAAAACCAAAAAAAGCCAGTCGGTGGTGGTGCACGCCTTTAATTCCAGGACTTGTGAGGCAGAGACATGCGGATCTCTGAGCTTGAAACCAGCCCTGAAGCGAGTGCAAGGACAGCCAGGGCTACACAGAAACCCTGTCTTGAAAAAAGCGGGGGACTGGAGAGATGGATCAGCACTAAGAGCAGTTGCTGCCCTTTCAGAGGACCTGGGTTCAGTTCCCAGCACCCACATCAGGTTACTCACAACTTTCTCTAAGTCCAGCAGCTACCTGCACGTGCCTAGTGAATGCACAGAAAAGCACTACATAAATTTACAAATTACACTTAGCTAAGGAAACACTAGTTTGTGTCTTAGGGCTTCTATTGCTGTGACAAGACAGTGACCACACCCGGCTGCATGGCGACTCTTACAAAGGAAAACATTTCATTGGGGCTGGCTTATAGTTAGGAGGTTTAGTCCATTATCATGACAGCTCTGGTGGCGTGCAGGCAGACACGGTGCTGGAGAGGTAGCTGTTCTACATCTGCAGGAACTTCTTGAACTTCTGAGACCTCAAAGCCCACCCCTTGTGACACACTTCCTCCAACAAGGTCACAACTAATAGTGTGGAGCCATTTTTATTCAAACCACCCCAGTTTGTAAGCTGGGGGAAAGGGGTGCCTCACTGGTGGAGGGCTTGCCTCACAAGCTGTCTGCAGCTGGTGAGGGGGGAGGGGTATAGTAGCGTGCACCTGTAATCCTAGCATCGGGAAACAGGCAGGAGGATTACACAGCCGAAAGCAGTTTGGACTACACGGTGGGTTAAGAGCACTGGCTGCTCTTCCAGAGGACCTGAGTTCAATTCCCAGCAACCAATGGTGGCTCACAACCATCTGTAGCGAGATGTAGTGCCCTCTTCTGGCCTGTAGGCAAACATGCATGCAGAATGTTGTACATAGTAAATATTTTTAATAAAAATAGAGGGACGGATGATCCAGCCAGTCAGTCTGGAGAAGCCAGGGTCTGATGCCGAAAACTTAAAGCAGCAGCGAGAACACTCGCAGTGTAAGATGGAGGGGTACACACTGGCTGGCTTCCTACTTCTATTGTTTCATTGGCCAGTAAGCCTAGCTGAAGGGTGGGAAACGGGCAGGAAAGAGAAAGGATGTGGAATGAGAGAAAGGAAGGGAAAGGAAGAGGCAGGAAACGAGAAGAAAAGAAAACAATCTACTCATAAAACTCATCACCTGCCGGGCGTTGGTGGCGCACGCCTTTAATCCCAGCACTCGGGAGGCAGAGGCAGGCGGATCACTGTGAGTTCGAGACCAGCCTGGTCTGCCGAGCGAGTTCCAGGACAGCCTCCAAAGCCACAGAGAAACCCTGTCTCGAAAAACCAAAAAAAAAAAAAAAAAAAAAAAAAGACTCATCATCACCTGCATCTCCTTTTCCCGCCTTCAGCCAAAAGCCGGCAGTTGGTTGGGAGCTGCTGCCTTGTTACCTGGCAACCGAAAGCCTTTGGCGCTTCTCTTGCAGGAGCGGCCCTGTAGTGATGTAAGAGGCACGCGGTGCGTGTAGGGACCATGGGGTCTCTGCCTGCTTGGACATTCACGCTGCTTAGAGCTGCGGGCTGCTCTGGCCAGGGGCGGCTGCCACAATTTCCAGCCTCGCGGCCCCGTAACCGCGGCCGGGCCACTATCCATGTGGACCCGCGTGGACTTGATGTAGTCTGGTAAGTCCCTATGTCATCGAAGGCTTCTCTGTTAGCCAAGTTCAGCTGTGGGCGGATCGACAGCACTCCACATAGATGCCTTGATGGATGGCGAGGGCTGTGTGACTGGGCTTTGTAAGGAACACATCACAATAAAACGGCAGATTTAAAGCCCAGGCACTGGTGCCCACCTTCAGTCCCAGCACTTGGGAGATGGAGACTGTAGGATGCCTGGGATACCTGGAACCTGCCGGGAAGGCACGACGATTTGAACTGGGAGCGGTGGGGACATGCTTATGATCCCAACACTAGGAAGAGGAGGCTGGGTCGGGAATTCAAGGGCAGCTTCTGCTACACAGAGAGTTTGAGACCAGCCTAGGCTAGATGACCCTGTCTCGCGAAATAAATAACATGAGGCTGGATGGGTTCCCATTGCAGAAGATATAAAATTTGGTTCCCAGCACCCAGTCAGGAGGCTCACAACCTCCCACAACTCCACATCCAAGGAATTGGACACCTGCTTTTGAATGTCTTCAGGCACT